ATAAATGAACCAGCAAAAATCTTGCCTAGGGCAGCAAATTGGTGAGAACCGGCCCTGGTGTCATCCCCACAGCACCCCCCATTTGAAACATGTTCCGAAGGCTATGTACAACAATACGCCCAAGCTGCCCCTCCTTAAAAATGTTTACAGCAATTATCTACCTCAAAACTAGGTGTGTCTTGTTCTTGTTCGATCAGATGTTTAATGATTCAACATGTTTTTACACGTTCCTGTTTAGATTCTGCCTCGTGTTTGTTCTCATTGGGCCTTATGAAACAACATGTTCTATTCCAATGCTCAATTGCTCTAGGTTGGATTTCCTACTAACGTAATAGACACTTTGGACATTTATTAATCCTAGTAGATTTTGAGTCATCACTAGGCAAGGCGAGGCAAGTTTATTTATATAGCACCTTTCAACACAAAGCAATTCAAAGTGCTGTACAAAAATATAAGACAATAAGATCTAACAACACTAACATGTGTAGTCAAATTTGTCTGAAAATGATTTAGAAATGTTGCTTCATTTGGATGGAAAATTTGCGAGGCGAAAATGTACCTCACTCTTAGTTTATGAAATCATCAACTCACTATATATAAAAAAATGAAAATTGGCATGAACAGCACAAAAACAAAACCGGTTGCAACCATGTTGTCAAAGTAGCAGCAAAAAGAGCCAATGTGATGTATTGCCCGCTTGTTTGTTTGAGAGCTTGAACAACAACTGACAAGTGAAGAAATGCATGGATGAAATGTTGATGTGTGGTTCTGTTGCCTCTATATGCATTGAATAAAAACTGATGATTATTTGCGATGCATTTATGTGAAGCAGTATTTTATTGGTGTTGCTGGTTAAGATAAGTATGATGTAACTATTTTATAGACTAATATGTAGCTTTATCAATAATTCCGTGCCACATTTTATAAGCTATTTGTTTTTAATGTAAAAAAACATGTTCCCACGGCTATGTTTTCATATTTAAGTTTGTAGCAAGTAGAGGGCTGCTGGCAGGCCCGGACTGGCCATCGGGAGAGCCGGGAGGTTTCCCGATGGCCTAGCGATTTTTTTTTTTTAATGTAGGCTATTGTGAACGCAACGCTGCGCAAATGTGGGTTTGCCTCACACAGGGTGACTGTCTGTCTACATGATGTGGCATCTGTTTCATATGGGTGTTTCCATAGATCTAGTCTCTTTATTTTCCCCTCAAAATGCACCAGATTGATGCATTTAACTCCAAAATTAAAAAAATATCTTACCAGGGGGGGGCATGCCCCCGGACCCCCCTAGAGGATTTGAGGTCCACCCCCAAAATATGTTCACATGGATAGATTCCCAAATACATTTGCAATTTTTTTTAAATAGTAACCCCTGTCCATATGTTTATTATTGGTGTGTGTGTGTGTGTGTGTGTGTGTGTGTGTGTGTGTGTGTGTGTGTGTGTGTGTGTGTGTGTGTGAGTGTGTGTGTGTGTGTGTGTGTTTGTTTGAGTTTGAGTGTGTGTGCGCGTGCATGCGTGCGCACGCGTTAGTTTCAAAGACCCCCATAGAGCTCAGTTTATAACTCGAACCCTGTCTGCAGCTCATCCAGAATGCAGCGGCTCGTCTGGTCTTCAACCTTCCAAAATGTTCCCACACCACACCGCTCCTCCGCTCACTTCACTGGCTTCCAGTTATTTCTAGAATCCACTTCAAGACAATGGTACTTGTGTACCATGCTGCGAATGGATCTGGCCCTTCCTACATCCAGGACATGGTTAAACTGTACACCCCAGCACGTGCACTCCGCTCTGCATCAGCCAAACGGCTCGCTACACCCGCACTGCGAGGGGGACCCAAGTTCCCATCAGCAAAAACACGTCGGTTTGCTATCCTGGCTCCAAAATGGTGGAATGAGCTCCCCATTGAAATCAGGACAGCAGATAGCTTGCACATCTTCCGGCGCAGACTGAAAACTCATCTCTTTCGACTCCACTTCGAGCAATAGAATTACTAACAAAGAATTGCTAACAAAGCACTTATATACTAATAAAGGACTGGCTTATCTAAAGCTAGTTGAGTAGCACTTGAAATGTTTTGGCTCTATGAAACCTGATGTACTTATATGATTCTGTTTTCTTCAAGTTTGTATCTTGTTGGTCGAATGCACTTATTGTAAGTCGCTTTGGATAAAAGTGTCAGCTAAATGCAATGTAATGTAATGTAAAAGTTCAGCAATTTTTTGGAATAAAATATTTATTTTCACATTTCACTATTATACATATTTTGATATTTGAATCCTTATTTTTCAGTTGCAGATTTTACGTTTTCAGATTCAAAACAAGATTTTTTTCAGGTTTCAAATCTTTTTTTTTCGCTTTCAAACTTTTGGCCCTGATGTTGCTTGGGGGGCGGGGTAGTTTGGCATCCTGAGTGACAGGCTTCCCTCTGTCATGTTGCCTTCATGGATGTTAGGTAGCGCGAGAAATATAACTCGACACTTTCTATACACAATACTCCCGTGATTGGTGGTAAACAAAACTGATATCAGCGTCAAAGTTCCGTTAAGCGAGCTGTTGAGCATCGTAGTTGGCAACAATCGCGGTATAAGAGCAATAAACTGTGCTAGAATGTGAAATTACGTATCCGCAACGAGCCAACAGGTTGTTCTGGTGGACCTGACGCCATCCCCCGCTGTCGAAAGGAGAGATACCAGTACCACAGGTACTTCCTTCCTGCAGCGGTCAGACTATACAACCACCACGGCCCCTAGTAGACCCCACCCCACACACACAACAACGCTGACTATAACACCCAAAGACCCCCATCACCCCAGCCACAAACTGTTCTTTCTGTTGCCGTCAGGCAGACGTTACCGCAGCATCCTGGCAAAGACAAGAAGATTCGGAGACAGTTGCTTCCCGCGGGCAGTGAGACTGTTAAACAATTGAACTGCTGAAACAACTTCAAAAACATTCATCTGCTACTCAGTAATATGTATCTAATATATATAATTCCAATAACTTGTAGACTCGTACTGCACTATTCCACATGCTCACTTTATTTTATAACTATTTTTCTTTTTGTATTGCTCTTGCTATCTGTATTGTTATTATGTTGCATTGTTGGAGAAGCCTGTGACATAAGATTTTCAACAACATAATTACTCTGTAGCTATGTCAGTTTGACAATAAAGAACCTTGCTGTTAAATGCCAACTATGTGCAATATTTAAAAACTGTGCAATATATCTGGCTGCTAAAACCTCAGAACTGTTACAGGATGTGTATTTTGTACCTCAACAGCTCGCTTAAAGGAACTTTGACGCTGGTATCAGTTTTGTTTACCACCAATCACGGGAGTATTGTATATAGCAGTGGCGAGCCGTGAGCTTTATACCTAGGCCCTCTGACCCCCACCCCTTCCCTCGAAAAAAAGAAAAAAAAAAGAGTTATTACGTCACAGCGTATACTTCAGCGGAATATCAAAACAACGGCCCAGGGTGCAAAACGCATCAATGACAGCGACCCTCTACCACACAAAACAACACCTGTGAACCCAATTTGTGTTCTTTGACATTGAAAATGATATTGCATTGTGTTTGTTACTTTCGTTGCAGTTGTATGTCTTAAGTGTAATTTGGCATGCTTTTATTTTGAAGGCGAGTTCACGCTGTTGACAGGAAGTTGTTGTTGCTATGGAAACAAGAAAAGTTTCACAGCGGGCGGAACTTGTCATCTAGTCCGCGATAATAAAACCCACCCATTTAGAGGGAAGATATGATTGGTCAATTGTACTGTCATTTGACATTACTCTCTCGTTCAGTTACTATAGCGGGCCCTCTGTGAATCGCAGAGAGGGCCAGACGAGCTTCTTTCATGTAACCCACATTCAAACAGAGACTGAACAGGCAGATTCGAAGGATTTATTTATTTGGAAATGTTATTTTATTAAATCAAGTTTTTTTTCGGTAAAACTAATGAAAAATATAACAAAAATAATATTAAAAAAATATATATTTAAAAAAAAATTTTTTTTTTAATGTTTTTAAATATTATTTTTTGGAATATCTTAGGCCCTCACAGAGGGCCTAGAGGGCCCTGACGGCTCGCCACTGGTATATAGAAAGTGTTGAGTTATATTTCTCGCGCTACCTAACATCCATGAAGGCAACATGACAGTGAGGCCTGTCACTCAGGATGCCAAACTACTCTTTGGTAAGCCCCGCCCCCCAAGCAACATCAGGGCCAAAAGTTTGAAAGCGAAAAAAAAAGATCTGAAAGTGAAAAAAATGGTGAAACCTGAAAAAACAAGATTTGAAAATGAAAAAATTATGTTTTGAATCTGAAAACGTAAAATCTGCAACTGAAAAAAATAAGGATTCAAATGTCAAAATATGTATAGAAGTGAAATATGAAAATAAATATTTTATTCCAAAAAATTGCTGAACTGAATATTCAACCTGAAAAATTATTTCAAATACTTATTTTTATTTTGAATACATCATTGTATTTTTCAAAATTCAGGATAAAAACTTGAACTTTCAAATAAATTATATTATATATTTTTTTTAATGATCAAAACTTATGACCCTGATATAGCTCCATAGGTGGTCCCTCTGTACATTCACAGAGGGCCCGCTATAGTAACTCAATGAGAGAGTAATGTCAAATGACAGTACAATTGACCAATCATATCTTCCCTCTAAATGGGTGGGCTTTATTTTCGCGGACTTTATGACAAGTTCCGCCCGCTGTGAAGTTTATACATGTGTATAAAGTGGTGCAGTGACGCGTCCTAAAACCCGGAAGTAAGCTGCGCTCGGGTTCCCTCGACAAAAAAGCTTTGCCAAGATTTCTTTAGTATCATGCATTTGCTGCCAATAGTGACTGTAGGTCAGACTTCGCCTAAATACAGCTGCAGAAGAATTTGGGAGGGACTCAATCTGAAAAAAGAAGAATGCATTCTGAAAACATGTTAAGCAGAATAAGACATTTTAAAGTCAGACATAATCTCCAGCGACACTGAATTTAGAGGCTTGGCATCATGTTTATTTTTTAAAACATATTTATATAAAACATTTGACAAACGCTCATACAGTTCAGCCTTCAAAGCAATGAAGGTCAAACATTTGTGAAAAATGTGTTAATCAGGAGGGGAAGTATACAACTTGACACAAATTCTTGCTGACACCCATGCTAGTCATGGCACCTCACATTATCCAGCCATGGAGACAGGAAGTGCTTCAGGCTACAGACACTAAATAGAACTACCCTTTCACTGTGCTCAACATTGATTACTGATGATGTGCCATCCAACAGAATTTGTCTTTATTAAGCTGACTGCCTCCAGAATTTCTACAGCTCGTGTTCTGTTCCCACGGTGGAGTAATGTGTACAATACAATTTGTCCTTTATGTGAAGTTCAAAGGTCACGCCCACAGAATGTCACTGGGTTTTGGGCTGCACAAAGGATCCGCCTTTTTTATTTTTTGAATCTGTCCAGAGCAGATTTCTTGCTCGATAACAACACCTCCTTCTTCTCCCTCTCCTTTCTCTCTTTTTCAATCTTCATTTTGTCCTCTGAAGATTGCTGTACTGTCTCCTGAGGGGTAAACAAGTCAAAAGAAACGAGAAATGAGCCAAACAGTGCAGATATTGCAGAAAGATCACACTCAAATGTATATCTCTGATTACTTACCCTCAGGTCCTCATTAGCCACTTGTCTCTTGCGCCTTTCAATACTGCCGGCAGAACTACGACCCTTCTTCTTATACCTGGGAATAAACTTTTCTTTGGCAAGTGGATCAAAGCCCTAGGAAGACAAAACAGACTTTTAGAAGGGTGGACACATACTATGATTCAGTATATAACAATGAACAGATCTAAAATCAAATGTGTGCTAATAGGATAGTTCCAGACACTGACCAGAGCTTGGACCCTGTCTTGGTGCTTCTGCTGGAAGGTGGCTTGGTCCACCTGTCCCAGCTCAGTGGGGTCGAGGGTGATGAGCTCTGGGTGGATCTTCTCCAGCAGGGCCTTAACCTCCCATTCCTGCCTCTGCTTAGCACTGCGATATGGATTTGAATCCAGACCGTCGAAGTTGGGCTCTCCAGCACCTGTAAATATAAATAAAGAGTTCAGTAATGGCAGCTGATACGATCAGGGCCACATTGAGCTTAACAAATATTTTCTTACATCACACTCTATGCTCATTTTGAGACTTATTTGAAATAAGGAATAATTCGAAATCCAGTCGTACCTGGTATGAGCATGCTGGTGAAACCCTCTCCGTGCCCCACCCCGAGGACATCCTCAAATGGACAGAATTGCATCCCCCAAACTGTTCTTTGAACTCTGTGAGCCATGTAGGGTTTAGTGACTGGAGTGCTCCACACGTCTCTGTACACCTGCAGGGAGAGTTTCAGACACAGATTAGGTGATAGGAGGGTCAAAAGTTGCAGTCTTATGCATGTTTTATCAAAATGACTTTGTGCAATGTCAGAGGTAATGTATAGCCACAAGGTGCAAAATGTCAGCAGTTTTTTTTTTATTCTATCTTTGGCCAGAAGTCACTGCAGACCTTGTTCATAGCAGACGTTTTAGCTCGTCATAGCAGGAAAATCCCACGTGTTTATTTTTAACTGAGTTTTGCTAATGTGACAGAAAAATGTCTAGTTTGGAGAGAAAAAAGGTCTCGTGTTGTTTGAACACTCACTTCCCTTAGATTACTTATCCCAAAACGTCCCCTAGTTTCCGAACAATCTCTTAGAACAGAGCAAAAAGGAAACTTTAGATTCCTTCAATGGACAATGTTCATTATTAATGGTATTAATTAAGAATTTAGGAAATCAGTCAGTCAGAGTTCAGCTGCAGAACAGGTCAGCTAAGCAGTACAACATGTGACATGTATATACAGTTTCCAATTATAGATCAAAAGGAATCAGTATTTTCTTTCAACAAAATTCATGTTGAAATCTCCTTTCAACATGTGACTCAAAACTGTGTCTCCATTATCTTAAAATGTGCTCCAGATTGCACTCCTTACAAAGTACGTTTCCTGTGAAGACACAGGAAACGTACTTTGTAAGGACATTTTGGTAAAGTAAGTAAAACAGCATGTCGCCATCGAGCAATGTCATTCATTTGGTGAAAAGAGCTATCAATCTGTCAATCCTTTCCGTGTCCGGGCGAGGTTTCCCGTGAATTAGAATGTCCGTGATTACAACATTCTCCACTGAACAACTGTGTTTCTGCTGACCACACGTTTTCACTTATGATAACCCACACCAAAAGCATCACTTCCTGTGTGAAGGCCTGATCATGTTTCGATGAGAGCTCAGGATCTGTGCAGTGTGGTGCAGATAATGACCTGAACAATGTCCCCAGTGGCAGCCGACAGCAGCCCCCTCTGGCTCAGGGACAGACAGGACGCTCCAGCAGGAAGGAAGTAGGACTTGAGGGGCTTGAAGGCTCTAATGTCGTATACCTTCAGCTTTTTATCCATACCAGATGTCACCATGTATCTGCCAAGAGGAGAGCACAATGGAAGATTGCTCTCTGGTGGACATTCAGAAAACTGCAGCTCACAACAAAACATGTATTAGTTATTCAAGCTGACTGTAAAGTATTTCAGCACGTATGGCTTTCTTCTACAAATTGTTCACTTTTAACCACCCACAGTTCTGCCGGGGAGCACCAGCACTATGCACAATTCACAGAATATTATAACGGAAAGATGCATTAAAAATAACATGCTATTCACTGTGTGTATCCATAGATTTAATTAGACTCATCTATTTGTTTTTGTAGTTGTCTGAAGTTTCAATCATAACATTAGCTTTACACAAACCATGTACCATTCTTTGACCACTATTTTTAAGTACATTTAATACAAATGTAAAAGAATATACTCTAAATCTCAAAGATGCATTCATTTACCTGCAGACTGGTTTCTGTTTAGATGGCTGTAATTATGGTTAGTAGGTCAAAATGCAAGCCCCATCAGAAAATGTTTGGCACAAAGCAAAGCCATGTACGAAACTGAATCCTTAAAAATATTTTGTCTCCAGCTGGTGGGTTAAAAAAAAGGATATTGTCAATGATAACAAGGACATTTTACACTTTCAAAAGATGGAAGTTGAAACATTTAAGGGGCTCGAAATGAAATACAGAGTATATTTATGATGTGGGGATGCACATGGATCGAAACAGGGCGATGGTTGAGCTGGTGCAAAGCAGCTCACAGTGCGAACCACAGTAACAGTAATGACAGAGCTAACAATATTAACCTGAGGGTAGGCATTACGCTTCGCCTACTACCCCGAAAACCTTTCATGATGATGTTTCTACTGCAATTGACTGCGAACAACCTCTACAAAATATAATCAATTATCCAAATCTTCCTCTAAAGAAAATCCATATTTGACATTAAAGTGTCATGTTTAGACTCACGTGCCCGTCTTGTCTACAGCCACAGAGCGCACGGCCCCCTGGTGACAGAGCATCTTGACGAGAGCTTCTTTCTGATTGGGCGACCACAGGGTGACGGTGCCGTTGGAGTGGCCGAGGTGGACGATGGCATTTTGAGGGTTCTGGCACATCACGTCCAGCCGACCAGTCTTGGTGTTGATGGCTGCCACTTCCTTTCCAACAGACACATCCAGGTACTGCAGGAAGCTTGTGGCACTCTGAGGGCGAAAACAGGAAGGTTCGTCAGAGCAGATTGATTTGAGTGAATTAGTAGGGTTAGGGTTACAAGTAGGTGATTGCTTTTACATTTCATATTTTACTTTACACAAATGTTTGAGAGAAATGTGAGGCAAAAAGACTGATGAAAGGGGCCGGTGCATACTTAGTAACTTATTGTAATATACCGTACCCTGCTTAAACACACTCAGCTCATTAAGGAACTTTAAAACACTTAGTGATACAATTATTTCCAAAGAAACATCCACAAAACTGCTTAGAAATCATAAGGAAAAAAAACTCCTTATAATCCTAGAATTTGCCTAAGAATCATTATTATTTTGTTATGTTTTCTTTCATTATCAAAGTAATCGAGTACAAGTTGTCATACTGTTAACGATTTGCTCAAATGTAACCAATAGATGGCTTAAACAATCCGACTGCTTATCTATAGGGGGCCTCAAAGTGTCAGGTTTTAAAAACGCCTGCTCTACATAGTTTGGAAACTACTTGATATTGATTGAACTCTTTTATAACGTCTCATAACTTGTCTTCATGGCCAGGTCTCTCTTGAAAAATAGATGTTAGTCTTATTGAGTATTTAACCTGGTTAAATAAAGAAGAAATATAAAAAATCTATTGAACGATGATACATGACAAACAGGTTGGCAAGCTTTTGTAATTGTGGTAATACTTTCAAAGTAAATGCAATAGCTTGTGTAAATGACCTGGAAGAACAGGTTTAATCAACTCACCACTGTTGCTAGCAAAAAGTGGTATGGGAGGAACTGCATTCGAAGGACGTCGTTAAATTTGCGGATGCAGTGGAGCTCGATGCCATTGGAGTCGTAGATATACAGCCACTTCTTCTGAGCCACCGCATACATGGCCTCACTGTGGAGCCACCTTGATAAAGCAGAAATGTTTGTGTTTAGAGGAAAGATGTTTACAGTTACTGTTAAGTAAAGCATTATTGCGTTGTACAAAGTGCGCTGTGTAGCTCTGCACAATGTGAGGCGTATGACTTACTTTACATCATTGATGGACTCCATCACGTTTATCTCACACATTAGCTGTTTGGTCTGCCAGTCTATACAAGCAATATGGCCTCTCCTTCCACCGAGCAGCAGATGTCTGAAACCAAGAAAACACACTGTGAACAAAATGCACAAACATGAAATCAATATTTCGTTATAATGTGAAAGGACTCGCTTTGAATTATAAAGCTACAGAAAGTTAAAGTCTGCAGTTTCCTCAGCTCTACAGAATGTTTTAGAACATTTCATTGGGTTTATATAGCCCAAGTCACAGATTTGCCTGAAGGGGCTTTACAGTTTATGCAGAATACAACACACTCAGTATGGGTAAAAATAATCTTGTCTTTTTATCATTTTAGTTTTACAGACCGCAACATGATTGTCTTGGTCGAGTCTCAACACTCTCATAAGGAGTTTTTAGGCAAAGCTGGCAGTTGTTTTCAGTGTAAAAGCTCTGAGAAACTCAGAAACATTTCCTTCCCAGCATGTCAGACAATGTTAACACTATCAGGTGAACACAGCCGAGCATTTAGCAGGTAGGGAGCCAGATATTTACAAAACTGCACTAATAATGAGGGCAAATATTCGCCAGGTGGAGCAAATATTCATTATTAGTTGAACATATGTGCAGTTAATGGCTTCTTATCCAAAGAGGCAAAAAATCAGATAATGTGGGTTTGGATAGAAAACATTTGGAGTTAATCTTCTCCTATTGCTGAGCTGACGGACTCGCATTATTCGCAGTGGCAGCAACCCTTAGACAGACACTTTAAACATGGTTTGAACAGGCATGGAGATTGAGATACTGACCGTCCAGTCCTGCTGTAATCCAGTCGATATGGTCCAAACTGAGACAGTTTCAGATCAAAATACTGAGAAAAAAGTGAGAGAGGAAACACAAATCAATGGAAGGTCTCATCCAGGGGAACAACATCTAACCTGAAAATATCTTCATTAAATTGTTTTTGAAACTAAATATACAAATAATTAACACAATCTTGTAACCTCCTGAACATACAGTATTTTTCGTTTTCTTTTTTTATTCTTGTAAATGAAATAGGCATTACAACCCATGTTAAGTTCAGCACTAACACATTATCCATATTAATACAATAAGTTGGGGATGACCTTTACTATTTGCAGCTTATTGTATCCCAGCAAGATCAGTTAAAAAATAGCTATATTTAAAAAGATAAAATAAAAACAGTAACATGCGGCCTGAACAAGGTATAGAGAGGCGGTTTGTGTTATCACAAAAGGCCCCATCACTTAAATGTCAGGAGTGTCCAGTTAATGTCCCACCTTTGATGCAGAGGTTATATCCACAGCATCTGAAATATCTTCCTGAGAGATTGTGCACGTGTCCTCATCTTCATCTCCTTCTAGAAACCTGAGATTGAAGGAAAACATGTCACAATCATGATTTTAAACAAAGGCTTGAAGTGACATATATCAAATTGCATCTCTGTCACATTATATACTGAAGCCAGAGCAGCCAGTCAACATTTAGAGGAAATTACCCAGCATCCTCTGGGAGTAGGAGGTCAATCCGAGCAGCTTGTTTCTGGGCCATTTCTGAAACTTCATCAGAGCGAGCCATCATGTCTTTCAGCTTGTAATGCTGCCGGGGAATCTAGAGCGAGAACAATAAAGGATCTTTAGATAGCTAGTAGCAACAGATAACTCCTTTTATTTACCAACGTGTTAAAAAGATTACCTTACCTTCTTAGTTTTATCTCTTCTCTTGAACTTCTGCATCCTGTCTTTAGAAATGTGTGCAGGCCCAGGGAAAGGGTCAGGTTTCTGAGAGAGTAGGAACAAGCATAAAAATGAAGGTAACGTCTTTTAGAGCTGGGAGATATATTGATATAGAATCAGAAATAGACCCCAATTACAAAAGTACTTCTACTTTCATTCAGATCAATGATATGCTATATTGGAAATATATATTTAAGCATGTTGTGTTCCAACTTACATTTAGTATACATGTGCTACTGTAAATACACATCTATAAGCAATCCCTTTGAACTGAACCTCAACAACATTATGCACATCGTATGTATTTTGCAAATTACAACTTATTTATTTTTAAACCTGCTCCCCCCCCCGCCCCCCGACTTTGTATTGCAACTGCTGATAAACAATTTCTCTAGGGATGAATACAGTTCGTATTTGAATTCACGATTCAGAATGTACAATCCTGTGATAATCCGTAGATATATTTCCCACTTCTCGGCGTGACACAACAATTAATTTGTGTTTATATCAAGGAGATCTTCCAAAATAATCCATCGATCTCTGCTAGCTTGCCTTTTAACTAAAACGTCAAATGTATTTATAATTTAACAGCATTGCTTTGTCAAATAGTATTTGCACTTTGTTTCTTCCTTTTTTTGTATATCACTTTTAACTGCATCCCCTGTAGAAAATGTGATATACACAAAAAGCTTTATTATTACTTGTATTCACTTACCCCTGAGATGAACTTCTTTGCATCTCCTCGATCCTCATCGTTCTTTCTTTTCTTTGCTTTCTCGACGTGTTTCTGTGGCAGAGTCTCTTCAGTCTGTTCTCCATCTTTTCCAACTTTGTTTTCATCCTTCCCCTCCTGCGGCTCATCCCAGTATCGAGCAGGGGCCTGTTTAAGAGGAGCAAAGCGGAAAAAGGTTTGCAAAATCGATGTTAACAACAAGACAGAGAGTTTAGTGTACATTGGAGTCACTTTGTTAGAAGAGGTGGGGACCCTTTTTCAGATACTGCTACTGCTTTAGGTGCCCCCGCAAACAATACATGCTTACTGTCTACAGTACCGGTACATACAGTACATGTCTCCCCTTGTAGACCACCACACAATATTGACTAGTGCTTTAAACCTGCAATGTGCAATATAGTTACCTTTCTTTCAATACTGTGCAATGATCACCTTTATTGTTATAAATGTCCCATTTTTTTTTTAATAATGTCTCAACACATAATTATATCTATGTCACTACCTACTTTAAGTTGCTGCTCCTCGTTTTAAGCCATTGATGTGTACTAAATAGCTCTATTTTTAATCATGTGTGGTTTTCTTCTCTATGTTTAATAAGTTAGCTTATCCTTTATAAATGCATGCCTTTTTCTCGTGCTATGCCACTTTTTGCTGTAATACTGTACATTTCCCCGCTGTGGGACTAATAAAGGATTTCTGATTCTGACATGTACACATATGCTTACAATATGTTAGGGACAACTAGTGCAGTAACTATGCTAAGCTTCTGCAAAGCGGTAGCAGCACTTGCCTTATTATTAATAATATTAAACGTGTCCCAGGTCCAAACTGCAGCACTTGCAGCAATACACCCAAAAAGTGTGAACAGTCCTCAAGAGTGTACATGTTCTCCTGTGCAAATTAACCTCAAAGTGTACACGTATTGTGCACGCTTTTTTCAGAACATTTATAACGAACTATCCGAATGCAAGTCCAGTAAACATGGTTCCGATGTGAGTTTATTTATCTGTGAAAATAGAAAAAAGGGTAATCTCGCCTCACAAAAAACCCGCAAACTCACACACACGCTGCTTGCGTTAACTGCGTAGTGTCAGAAAAACTAGCGCTACATTGAGTGTGTTAGTTTTGTTTTAAAACGTCAAGGTCTTTCTCAGATGACGTTATTAAAAGTGTAACTATGTCACAAACAACTTATTCGCAGTTACCTTCTTCGTTTTTTCCACGTGTGCTGGATTCACCACAGCCTCGCTGGTGGCCGCCATCTTTGTTGTATATGTTTTTCAGTTCCTGTGACCTCACTTCTGATGACGTCACTTCCTGCTAAACATTGTTTAGTATTTTTGTATTCAGCACTTTGCTTACAGAATTTTATCAAAACAGGAAAGTTAATTATAAAAAAAGATGAGTTCAACCAATAATGGTGTGAAGCTTTCTAGAACAAAGTAGAACAAAAGTAATAAAGAATAGGAGTAGGCTGCCAATAAATGCTGAAAATCAAGAGAGAGAACAATCAAAACAAGTAAGAAATAAAAGACATTACATTACATTGTTACTTGTTAGACGCTTTTATCCAAAGCGACTTACATACTCAATACTGTGGACAATCCCCACTGGAGCAATTTGGGGTGAAGTGTCTTGCCCAGGGACACAACGACATGCTGACTGCAGTGGGGTTTGACCCATAAACACAACAATTCCCAAGGGTGAAATGTTTTAAATGTAGATGAAGTAGTTTCAAGCCCAACGCTTTTGGAAAAAAATAAAAACATGGTAAAAACATTAAGAGTCATGGACCTATAGGTGGGAACTTATTTAGGGGCAAGACAGGGGGAATGTTAAACTCTTTGAGCCCCCTGGTAATATATTTATATTTCCAACATTGACAGTGTTTGTTGTGCTTTGAATGGGAAACCTTGCATTTGTGTTTGAGAGTTTAAACCCCTGAATGAGGGCGTGGAAGTAAAATCCTTAAAGGATTTAAAAGGTTGACTTTCATCTAGGGGAAAGAGGAGTGGCTAGAAGACCATATCATATATGGGACTCTGCCTCCAATGTAATGCTGTGTGGCGTGAGAAGAGACAGGAATGCAAAAAGGGAAAGGCTTCAGCAGGAGAAGAGAAAAGTTTCAGATATACAGCGGAGTAACCAGCAGCATTCACCATGTCATTAGATCAGTACAAGGTATTTCTTCAAATTCTAAGAGCTATATTGTGGTTTCATTTTAAGTAAGGTTCATTTTCTTGTTTGACATGTCATGGCGGGAAGAATGACAAATGCATGCAAAGGTTTAATGCATTAATTCACTTTTTAGCACGACTTTCTGTGTTCAACCGCACTGGTGGGGTTTTTCTTTTCAAAAACTTGAACACATATTTTGCGTGAGTAACTACCTTTTAGTAGTAATGTTATAAAGTCCAAGAAATTGCCATTTATAATATAGGAAATGTTAAGACTGTTCCAAGAAATGATCAAAAGTGATTGAGAAAAACTGGACGTAAGGGCTGCAAAGCGATTTCCGATCCGGGACAAAGGCTCCAATAACAACCGAGAAAGTGTTATGTAACGAGAAGAGAGAGGAAGCAAAGTCATAAGGAAACAAATAAGTAGAAGAAAAAAATGTCAGATATGCAGCAGAGTAACCAGCAGCATTTATATCAGAATCTGTCAGCACACTTTTGTAATTTTACGTTTCTCTATTTCTTTCTCTACTGTTTAATTACTATTATAAAAATGACCAAATTAATTGTATATTTTGATTATTTTTCTTTCTTTTTTTACACATGGAGGATTCCCCTCGACCTGAACTGTTTGATTTCCATGGAGTTCCAATGTCCCACTTTTTCACAGACAACTGGGAGAACATCCAAAACTTTCAGGCCAGGCCCGATGATATACTTATTGCAACATACCCCAAAGCAGGTCAGTCCTTGAACAGCCAGATTAAAGGCCTCATAAAATATGTGTGTATAAAGGTAATGAGTGGAGATTGTTTAGTTTACTCTGTCTCTCTGTGTGTATGTCAGGAACCACCTGGGCCTCCTACATTCTGGACCTGCTGTATTTTGGTCAGCAAGAGCGCCAGACATCCGTCCCAATCTATGACAGGGTGCCTTTCTTGGAGATCTTCTTCCCGCCTCATCATTCAGGTTCAACAGATGATCAAATATACTAACCATTATTAACGAACATAAAAAACTCTAATTTAAAGTTGTATTGTATTTAGTGGCATTTAGCGGTGAAATTGCAGCTTGCAAACAACTCAACATCCCTTCACTGACTATAGGCCAACGCCCAACATGAAGATTATAAAAAGCCAATGCTTTATAGACCAGCTCTAAGAGATTCAGAAGAAAAGTTATATTTTGCGTGTTCTTGAACTCCTTTGTTGACTTTTTAAACGTTATCATTGTATGTGCAAGGTTCAAATGCTTTTTATTAGTGTCACAAGACACAGAATGTACCTCACTGTAGCAATCGAGTAACCATTCATTACTTAACAGAAGTTTACAGCATCAGGGCTGGGTTCACTTCATCTTTCTTCATACAGGAAAAGATCAGGCGGACAACCTCCCCACATCTCCTCGACTCATCAAAACTCACTTTCCGGTCCAGTTTGTGCCTAAATCCTTTTGGGAACAAAACTGCAGGGTCAGTAGTTTGTGTATTATTTTTGCAACAAAGAGAAGTAGTAGAACAACAACAAACAACAACAGACATCTAAAAGTATATTATGCCTCATCTATTATCGGTCTTATGATCTTTACGTTTTTCATGATTCTTCAGATAGTCTACGTTGCCCGCAATGCCAAAGACAACATGGTGTCTTATTTTCACTTTGACCGCATGAACCTAGCTCAGCCAGAGCCTGGAGAATGGAGCAACTTCTTCCAGAGATTCATGGAGGGAAAGAGTATGTATGAAATACAATAATAATAATAGGCTTTGATCAAATGCAAAGATTTCTACTGAAAAATACTGACATATTTGTATGTGCCCTTCTGTGGGATCAGTGGTGTTTGGATCGTGGTACGACCATGTGAACGACTGGTGGAAAAAGAAAGAGAGTTATCCAAAAATCCATTACATGTTCTATGAAGACATGATTGAGGTAATGTAGTTGTTATTAGGTGTTGCTATTCAGGCTACCTTTCTTCTCTAGCATAACAATGAGACGGTGAACTGACCACTGTGTTTACAGGATACTGGACGGGAGATAGACAAACTCTGCAGCTTTCTTGGTTTGTCTCCTTCTGCAGAGGACAAGATGAAGGTTACAGAGGGGGTGCAGTTTGACAATATGAAAAAGGACGGCATGGCAAACTATTCTACGAACCCAGTTATGGATTTCAAGATTTCTCCTTTCATGAGAAAAGGTAAATTGATGAATAAATACCGACAAGTATGTGATGAGAAAAAACTAATCACATCTCCACTTTGAGCTAAAACACCTGATTTATTCTCTGTGGTTCTGCAGGGAAAGTTGGTGACTGGAAGAACCATTTCACTGTGGCCCAGAGTGAACAATTTGATGAAGACTACAAGAAAAAGATGAAGGATGCAACACTTCAGTTCCGCACTAAAGTTTGAACAGAACTAGTGCTGTGTATTTTTGGGGATCAATGACTGACTGGGCATGAGTCTTCTCTGTGAGACAATCAAAATATATGTACTCTTATAGTAGAACCGTATAATCTATGTTTATTATACATGAGGCTTTACAAATCTCCAGGATTATTATTACATGATAAAGAGCCTCACATTTATCATTATTAATCCCAAAGCCCTAACAGAATAACCATAAAAGAACATTAAAAAAATACTATAGCACATGTTAAAGAAAGTAATGTTCAAATTGAAGTTATTGTTCTCATTGTCCATTTGTCCTTTCTGCAGAAGTGGGATAACTGTATTGCTTTGTATATGATATTTGTATATTTGTAATTAAACAACAGCTCCTTCATGTGGTTCATTTCGTTTTCGTCTTCTTCCGAGACGTTAAATAAATAATAAAAAACAGAGATACAGGACAAGCTAGAAAGAGACTGGCACTTAAAAACTAAAACGTCATGCTTTTATAACCTTCTGCGGGAGTCTCATCCACCCAAATGTGTAGGCCTTAAGATATGCTGGGAGAAGGACATAGAGGAAGAGAAAACTGGTGAAACATGGGGGGAAATTATTGGGTCATGGTTTAAAGTTTCAAGGGAAATACAGATATGTCTGATTAATTGTAAAATCATCAATAGAACATATTGGACCCCAAGTAAAATGGCAAGGCTAGGACTCAGAGGCTCCGACTTGTGTTGGAGATGTGATACTGCATGTGGCACTCTACTGCACATGTTGTATTCATGCCCCATAATAGATATCTTATGGTCGAAGATTATTACCTTCATTAATACAGTAATGGCTTCCTCTCTGGTACAGGGACCAATGATTTGCATACTAGGTATGGTACCAAAGGAAAGTGGTTTGAATGCGCACCAGATCTCATGGTGCAGATCAGAATAGCACTTATTACTGGATGTAGGATAGTGTTGCAACATTGGAAAGCTAAGGGGGATATATCCCTTGAGGAATGGATGGACGAAATAGCCAAAATCTCCTCCTATGAAAGATGATGTTATAAGATGATGGATAGAATAGATATATACATGAAAATATGGCTTTTGTGGCGGTGACTTGAAGTGCTGGAGAGCTCCCCCCTTTCAAATAATTGAAAACATGAAAATAAAGTTACAATGTGATGTACTACGTATTTGATAAATATAATGTGTTGTATTTCAGTATGTGCAGGATGGTTTGCATACCGCGTATCATGTATATCGTGTATACCATGGATGATGCTCTCCCTCTGTGATGTTCCCTTTGTCCGTCTTTTCTGTTCTTGTACTGTGGTACTTTGATATGTTGATATGTGATACATTTAGCAGGCTGTGTTGGCATGTATGTTTTCTTTTTCTGAAAAAACAAAGAAAAAACATCTGAATCATGTTAATGTTGTACTGCACTGTAACTTTTATTCATATGTTATGTTTATATTATTATCCTTGCTTTTGAATTGCCTTTTTATAATGTGTTTCCACTGCACTATTTCTTAATGCTCTCAAAGTCTTTCACTTTTGTACCTTGCCTGATTACAGCCTGATTTATCCAGACTTTGTTATACAGTATTTTACCTAGAAATGGGTATGGTTAAGATTTTAACCGTGCTACTTGGCCCCAACACTGCTTATCGATCCAGTACTTTAACGGTATTTTTATCGGTTCTTTTTTTGTATTTTTAAGGAAAGAACCAAACAAATTGTAAACACAATAAACATTGCTTTATTTGATATACAGTATATTCATGTTGCATTGTTAAACAAGTCCATTAATCAGGGCGTGGAACTAAAATCCGTAAAGGATTTAAAAGTTTGACTTTTATCTAGGGGAAAGGGGAGTGGCTAGAAGACCATATCAGATCTGGGACTCTACCTCCAATGTAATGCTGCGTAGTGTGAGAACAGACAGGAATATAAAGAGGGAAAGGCTTCAGCAGGAGAAGAAAAAAGTTTCAGATATACAGCGGAGTAACCAGCAGCATTCACCATGTCATTAGATCAGTACAAGGTATTTCTTCAAATTCATCTTAAGTAATTTCTCTAAGAGCTATATTGTGGTTTACTTTTAAGTTAGGTTCATTTTCTTGTTTGACATGTAATGGTGGGAAGAATGACAAATGCATGCAAAGGTTTCATGCATTCATTCACTTTTTAGCACAACGTTCTGTGTTCAACCCATGGTTCAACCGCACTGGTGGGGTTTTTTTATTTTCAAAAACTAGGTTTTAAAGCATCACATATTTTGCGTGAGTAACTACCTTTTAGTAGTAATGTTTTAAAGTCCAAGAAATTGTGAAAACGCCATTTATAATATAGGAAATGTTAAGACTGTTTCAAGAAATGATCAAAAGTGATTGAGAAAAACTGGACGTAAGGGCTGCAAAGCGATTTCATATCCGGGACAAAGGCTCCAATAACAATTGAGAAAGTGTTATGTAACGAGAAGAGAGAGGAAGCAAAGTCATAAGGAAACAAATAAGTAGAAGAAAAAAAAGTTAGATATGCAGCAGAGTAACCAGCAGCATTTATATCAGAATCTGTCAGCACACTTTTGTAATTTTACGTTTCTCTATTTCTTTCTCTACTGTTTAATTACTATTATAAAAATGACCAAATTAATTGTATATTTTGATTATTTTTCTTTCTTTTTTTACACATGGAGGATTCCCCTCGACCTGAACTGTTTGATTTCCATGGAGTTCCAATGTCCCACTTTTTCACAGACAACTGGGAGAACATCCAAAACTTTCAGGCCAGGCCCGATGATATACTTATTGCAACATACCCCAAAGCAGGTCAGTCCTTGAACAGCCAGATTAAAGGCCTCATAAAATATGTGTGTATAAAGGTAATGAGTGGAGATTGTTTAGTTTACTCTGTCTCTCTGTGTGTATGTCAGGAACCACCTGGGCCTCCTACATTCTGGACCTGCTGTATTTTGGTCAGCAAGAGCGCCAGACATCCGTCCCAATCTATGACAGGGTGCCTTTCTTGGAGGCTTTCTTCCCGCCTCATCATTCAGGTTCAACAGATGATCAATTATTCACATCCATGCATCACAAACATAAAAAACCCTTATTTAAAGTTATATTCTATTTAGTGGAATTTAGCAGTGAAATTGCAGCTTGCAAACAACTTATATAGACCAGCCCTAAGAGATTAAGAAGTAAAGTTACATTTTGTGTATTTTTGACATCCTTTGTTCCTTTGTTGACTTTTTAAACGTTATCATTGTGTGTGCAAGGTTGACCTCAATGTAGCAATCGAGTAACCATGACTTAACAGAAGTTTACAGCATCAGGGCTGGGTTCACTTTGTCTTTCTTCATACAGGAAAAGATCGCGCAGACAACCTCCCCACATCTCCTCGACTCATCAAAACTCACTTTCCAGTCCAGTTTGTGCCTAAATCCTTTTGGGAACAAAACTGCAGGGTCAGTAGTTTGTGTATTCTTTTGCAACAAAGAGAAGCAGTAGAACAACAACAAACAACAGACATCTAAAAGTATATTATGCCTCATCTATTATTGGTCTTATGATCTTTACGTTTTTCATGATTCTTCAGATAGTCTACGTTGCCCGCAATGCCAAAGACAACATGGTGTCTTATTTTCACTTTGACCGCATGAACCTAGCTCAGCCAGAGCCTGGAGAATGGAGCAACTTCTTCCAGAGATTCATGGAGGGAAAGAGTATGAATGAAATACAATAATAATAATAGGCTTGGATCAAATGCAAAGATTTCTACTGAAAAATACTGACATATTTGTATGTGCCCTTCTGTGGGATCAGTGGTGTTTGGATCGTGGTACGACCATGTGAACGACTGGTGGAAAAAGAAAGAGAGTTATCCAAAAATCCATTACATGTTCTATGAAGACATGATTGAGGTAATGTAGTTGTTATTAGGTGTTGCTATTCAGGCTACCTTTCTTCTCTAGCATAACAATGAGACGGTGAACTGACCACTGTGTTTACAGGATACTGGACAGGAGATAGACAAACTCTGCAGCTTTCTTGGTTTGTCTCCTTCTGCAGAGGACAAGATGAAGGTTACAGGGGGGGTGCAGTTTGACAATATGAAAAAGGACGACATGGCAAACTATTCTACGAACCCAGTTATGGATTTCAAGATTTCTCCTTTCATGAGAAAAGGTAAATTGATGAATAAATACCGACAAGTATGTGATGAGAAAAAACTAATCACATGTCCACTTTGAGCTAAAACACCTGATTTATTCTCTGTGGTTCTGCAGGGAAAGTTGGTGACTGGAAGAACCATTTCACTGTGGCCCAGAGTGAACAATTTGATGAAGACTACAAGAAAAAGATGAAGGATGCGACACTTCAGTTCCGCACCGAAGTGTGAACAGAACTGGACGGGCTGTGTCAAGCCCTTGGGTATTTTTGCAGTTTCCCCGCTTGAAAGGGATGGTACAGTCCATATAGGAGGTTTTCACTGGGTTTCACTCATACAATGACCACAACTTTGTTTTCTTTTGAGTTCTTCTTTACTTTAGTTTTTGTTGTTTGCAGTACAGCGTAAGGTTGTAAGGTGAAAAACCTTAAATGAAAAATAAAAATAATTACTGTAAATACAATGCACATGAAATAATAAATGCAAAAATACATGCTTTACATATATTTTTTAACACTTGTGAATATTGTTTTTCCTTTTAGTGTATTTTTACGAATTATGTTTTTAAACAGTTTTTAACTTATGCAGTCTCATTAAAAATGCAAATATAATAGACTGAATTTTTAGCAGCATTCAAACCGTTTCTATCAAACCACATCTCTCAATAAACAAATCACATTAGTTCCACACAGTTCGTTTCTCACCGGCCGCCTCTCCAGCTTTTTATGGCTGCACCAGTGCTGCTTCTTTGTAGTTTTCTTCTGCTGGTTTGTTGCTGCTGCTGGACGCACGCTTTTTAGTTTGTCCCTCTCCAGCTTTGAATTACCGCCCTCCTTTCAGGTGTGGTGCTTTTAAAGCTGCAGCGACGCTGATTAGCAATTAGGGACTGATTTCAGACAGCTGCCACTCTGTCAATCAGCCCGACTTTTTAAACCCTTTGCTCTCCTGTGGATTCTCCAAGTTGACTTCACAATGACTGACTGGGCATGAGTCTTCTCTGTGAGACAATCAAAATATATGTACTCTTATAGTAGAACCGTAGAATCTATGATTATTATACATGAGGCTTTACAAATCTCCAGGATTATTATTACATGATAAAGAGCCTCACATTTATCATTATTAATCACAAAGCCCTAACAGAATAACCATAAAAGAACATTAAAAAAATACTATAGCACATGTTAAAGAAAGTAATGTTCAAATTGAAGTTATTGTTCTCATTGTCCATTTGTCCTTTCTGCAGAAGTGGGATAACTGTATTGCTTTGTATATGATATTTGTATATTTGTAATTAAACAACAGCTCCTTCATGTGGTTCATTTAGTTTTCGTCTTCTTCCGAGACGTTAAATAAATAATAAAAAACAGAGATACAGGACAAGCTAGAAAGAGACTGGCACTTAAAAACTAAAACGTCATGCTTTTATAACCTTCTGCGGGAGTCTCATCCACCCAAATGTGTAGGCCTTAAGATATGCTGGGAGAAGGACATAGAGGAAGAGAAAACTGGTGAAACATGGGGGGAAATTATTGGGTCATGGTTTAAAGTTTCAAGGGAAATACAGATATGTCTGATTAATTGTAAAATCATCAATAGAACATATTGGACCCCAAGTAAAATGGCAAGGCTAGGACTCAGAGGCTCCGACTTGTGTTGGAGATGTGATACTACATGTGGCACTCTACTGCACATGTTGTATTCATGCCCCATAATAGATATCTTATGGTCGAAGATTATTACCTTCATTAATACAGTAATGGCTTCCTCTCTGGTACAGGGACCAATGATTTGCATACTAGGTATGGTACCAAAGGAAAGTGGTTTGAATGCCCACCAGATCTCATGGTGCAGATCAGAATAGCACTTATTACTGGATGTAGGATAGTGTTGCAACATTGGAAAGCTAAGGGGGATATATCCCTTGAGGAATGGATGGACGAAATAGCCAAAATCTCCTCCTATGAAAGATGATGTTATAAGATGATGGATAGAATAGATATATACATGAAAATATGGCTTTTGTGGCGGTGACTTGAAGTGCTGGAGAGCTCCCCCCTTTCAAATAATTGAAAACATGAAAATAAAGTTACAATGTGATGTACTACGTATTTGATAAATATAATGTGTTGTATTTCAGTATGTGCAGGATGGTTTGCATACCGCGTATCATGTATATCGTGTATACCATGGATGATGCTCTCCCTCTGTGATGTTCCCTTTGTCCGTCTTTTCTGTTCTTGTACTGTGGTACTTTGATATGTTGATATGTGATACATTTAGCAGGCTGTGTTGGCATGTATGTTTTCTTTTTCTGAAAAAACAAAGAAAAAACATCTGAATCATGTTAATGTTGTACTGCACTGTAACTTTTATTCATATGTTATGTTTATATTATTATCCTTGCTTTTGAATTGCCTATTTATAATGTGTTTCCACTGCACTATTTCTTAATGCTCTCAAAGTCTTTCACTTTTGTACCTTGCCTGATTACAGCCTGATTTATCCAGACTTTGTTATACAGTATTTTACCTAGAAATGGGTATGGTTAAGATTTTAACCGTGCTACTTGGCCCCAACACTGCTTATCGATCCAGTACTTTAACGGTATTTTTATCGGTTCTTTTTTTGTATTTTTAAGGAAAGAACCAAACAAATTGTAAACACAATAAACATTGCTTTATTTGATATACAGTATATTCATGTTGCATTGTTAAACAAGTCCATTAATCAGGGCGTGGAACTAAAATCCGTAAAGGATTTAAAAGTTTGACTTTTATCTAGGGGAAAGGGGAGTGGCTAGAAGACCATATCAGATCTGGGACTCTACCTCCAATGTAATGCTGCGTAGTGTGAGAACAGACAGGAATATAAAGAGGGAAAGGCTTCAGCAGGAGAAGAGAAAAGTTTCAGATATACAGCGGAGTAACCAGCAGCATTCACCATGTCATTAGATCAGTACAAGGTATTTCTTCAAATTCATCTTAAGTAATTTCTCTAAGAGCTATATTGTGGTTTACTTTTAAGTAAGGTTCATTTTCTTGTTTGACATGTAATGGTGGGAAGAATGACAAATGCATGCAAAGGTTTCATGCATTCATTCACTTTTTAGCACGACTTTCTGTGTTCAACCCATGGTTCAACCGCACTGGTGGGGTTTTTTTATTTTCAAAAACTAGGTTTTAAAGCATCACATATTTTGCGTGAGTAACTACCTTTTAGTAGTAATGTTTTAAAGTCCAAGAAATTGAGAAAATGCCACTTATAATATAGGAAATGTTAAGACTGTTTCAAGAAATGATCAAAAGTGATTGAGAAAAACTGGACGTAAGGGCTGCAAAGCGATTTCAGATCCGGGACAAAGGCTCCAATAACAATCGAGAAAGTGTTATGTAACGAGAAGAGAGAGGAAGCAAAGTCATAAGGAAACAAATAAGTAGAAGAAAAAAATGTCAGATATGCAGCAGAGTAACCAGCAGCATTTATATCAGAATCTGTCAGCACACTTTTGTAATTTTACGTTTCTCTATTTCTTTCTCTACTGTTTAATTACTATTATAAAAATGACCAAATTAATTGTATATTTTGATTATTTTTCTTTCTTTTTTTACACATGGAGGAATCCCGACCTGAACTGTTTGATTTCCATGGAGTTCCAATGTCCCACTTTTTCACAGACAACTGGGAGAACATCCAAAACTTTCAGGCCAGGCCCGATGATATACTTATTGCAACATACCCCAAAGCAGGTCAGTCCTTGAACAGCCAGATTAAAGGCCTCATAACATATGTGTGTATAAAGGTAATGAGTGGAGATTGTTTAGTTTACTCTGTCTCTCTGTGTGTATGTCAGGAACCACCTGGGCCTCCTACATTCTGGACCTGCTGTATTTTGGTCAGCAAGAGCGCCAGACATCCGTCCCAATCTATGACAAGGTGCCTTTCTTGGAGGCTTTCTTCCCGCCTCATCATTCAGGTTCAACAGATGATCAATTATTCACATCCATGCATCACAAACATAAAAAACCCTTATTTAAAGTTATATTCTATTTAGTGGAATTTTGCAGTGAAATTGCAGCTTGCAAACAACTTATATAGACCAGCCCTAAGAGATTAAGAAGTAAAGTTACATTTTGTGTATTTTTGACATCCTTTGTTCCTTTGTTGACTTTTTAAACGTTATCATTGTGTGTGCAAGGTTGACCTCAATGTAGCAATCGAGTAACCATGACTTAACAGAAGTTTACAGCATCAGGGCTGGGTTCACTTTGTCTTTCTTCATACAGGAAAAGATCGCGCAGACAACCTCCCCACATCTCCTCGACTCATCAAAACTCACTTTCCGGTCCAGTTTGTGCCTAAATCCTTTTGGGAACAAAACTGCAGGGTCAGTAGTTTGTGTATTCTTTTGCAACAAAGAGAAGCAGTAGAACAACAACAAACAACAACAGACATCTAAAAGTATATTATGCCTCATCTATTATTGGTCTTATGATCTTTACGTTTTTCATGATTCTTCAGATAGTCTACGTTGCCCGCAATGCCAAAGACAACATGGTGTCTTATTTTCACTTTGACCGCATGAACCTAGCTGAGCCAGAGCCTGGAGATTGGAGCAACTTCTTCCAGAGATTCATGGAGGGAAAGAGTATGTATGAAATACAATAATAATAATAGGCTTTGATCAAATGCAAAGATTTCTACTGAAAAATACTGACATATTTGTATGTGCCCTTCTGTGGGATCAGTGGTGTTTGGATCGTGGTACGACCATGTGAACGACTGGTGGAAAAAGAAAGAGAGTTATCCAAAAATCCATTACATGTTCTATGAAGACATGATTGAGGTAATGTAGTTGTTATTAGGTGTTGCTATTCAGGCTACCTTTCTTCTCTAGCATAACAATGAGACGGTGAACTGACCACTGTGTTTACAGGATACTGGACGGGAGATAGACAAACTCTGCAGCTTTCTTGGTTTGTCTCCTTCTGCAGAGGACAAGATGAAGGTTACAGGGGGGGTGCAGTTTGACAATATGAAAAAGGACGACATGGCAAACTATTCTACGAACCCAGTTATGGATTTCAAGATTTCTCCTTTCATGAGAAAAGGTAAATTGATGAATAAATACCGACACATATGTGATGAGAAAAAACTAATCACATCTCCACTTTGAGCTAAAACACCTGATTTATTCTCTGTGGTTCTGCAGGGAAAGTTGGTGACTGGAAGAACCATTTCACTGTGGCCCAGAGTGAACAATTTGATGAAGACTACAAGAAAAAGATGAAGGATGCGACACTTCAGTTCCGCACCGAAGTGTGAACAGAACTGGACGGGCTGTGTATTTTTGGGGATCAATGACTGACTGGGCATATGTCTTCTCTGTGAGACAATCAAAATATATGTACTCTTATAGTAGAACCGTAGAATCTATGATTATTATACATGAGGCTTTACAAATCTCCAGGATTATTATTACATGATAAAGAGCCTCACATTTATCATTATTAATCCCAAAGCCCTAACAGAATAACCATAAAAGAACATTAAAAAAATACTATAGCACATGTTAAAGAAAGTAATGTTCAAATTGAAGTTATTGTTCTCATTGTCCATTTGTCCTTTCTGCAGAAGTGGGATAACTGTATTGCTTTGTATATGATATTTGTATATTTGTAATTAAACAACAGCTCCTTCATGTGGTTCATTTCGTTTTCGTCTTCTTCCGAGACGTTAAATAAATAATAAAAAACAGAGATACAGGACAAGCTAGAAAGAGACTGGCACTTAAAAACTAAAACGTCATGCTTTTATAACCTTCTGCGGGAGTCTCATCCACCCAAATGTGTAGGCCTTAAGATATGCTGGGAGAAGGACATAGAGGAAGAGAAAACTGGTGAAACATGGGGGGAAATTATTGGGTCATGGTTTAAAGTTTCAAGGGAAATACAGATATGTCTGATTAATTGTAAAATCATCAATAGAACATATTGGACCCCAAGTAAAATGGCAAGGCTAGGACTCAGAGGCTCCGACTTGTGTTGGAGATGTGATACTACATGTGGCACTCTACTGCACATGTTGTATTCATGCCCCATAATAGATATCTTATGGTCGAAGATTATTACCTTCATTAATACAGTAATGGCTTCCTCTCTGGTACAGGGACCAATGATTTGCATACTAGGTATGGTACCAAAGGAAAGTGGTTTGAATGCGCACCAGATCTCATGGTGCAGATCAGAATAGCACTTATTACTGGATGTAGGATAGTGTTGCAACATTGGAAAGCTAAAGGGGATATATCCCTTGAGGAATGGATGGACGAAATAGCCAAAATCTCCTCCTATGAAAGATGATGTTATAAGATGATGGATAGAATAGATATATACATGAAAATATGGCTTTTGTGGCGGTGACTTGAAGTGCTGGAGAGCTCCCCCCTTTCAAATAATTGAAAACATGAAAATAAAGTTACAATGTGATGTACTATGTATTTGATAAATATAATGTGTTGTATTTCAGTATGTGCAGGATGGTTTGCATACCGCGTATCATGTATATCGTGTATACCATGGATGATGCTCTCCCTCTGTGATGTTCCCTTTGTCCGTCTTTTCTGTTCTTGTACTGTGGTACTTTGATATGTTGATATGTGATACATTTAGCAGGCTGTGTTGGCATGTATGTTTTCTTTGTCTGAAAAAACAAAGAAAAAACATCTGAATCATGTTAATGTTGTACTGCACTGTAACTTTTATTCATATGTTATGTTTATATTATTATCCTTGCTTTTGAATTGCCTTTTTATAATGTGTTTCCACTGCACTATTTCTTAATGCTCTCAAAGTCTTTCACTTTTGTACCTTGCCTGATTACAGCCTGATTTATCCAGACTTTGTTATATAGTATTTTACCTAGAAATGGGTATGGTTAAGATTTTAACCGTGCTACTTGGCCCCAACACTGCTTATCGATCCAGTACTTTAACGGTATTTTTATCGGTTCTTTTTTTGTATTTTTAAGGAAAGAACCAAACAAATTGTAAACACAATAAACATTGCTTTATTTGATATACAGTATATTCATGTTGCATTGTTAAAACAAGTCCATTAATCAGGGCGTGGAACTAAAATCCGTAAAGGATTTAAAAGTTTGACTTTTATCTAGGGGAAAGGGGAGTGGCTAGAAGACCATATCAGATCTGGGACTCTACCTCCAATGTAATGCTGTGTAGTGTGAGAACAGACAGGAATATAAAGAGGGAAAGGCTTCAGCAGGAGAAGAGAAAAGTTTCAGATATACAGCGGAGTAACCAGCAGCATTCACCATGTCATTTTATCAGGTCAAGGTATTTCTTCAAATTCATTTTAAGTAATTTCTCTAAGAGCTATATTGTGGTTTACTTTTAAGTAAGGTTCATTTTCTTGTTTGACATGTAATGGTTGGAAGAATGACAAATGCATGCAAAGGTTTCATGCATTCATTCACTTTTTAGCACAACGTTCTGTGTTCAACCCATGGTTCAACCGCACTGGTGGGGTTTTTTATTTTCAAAAACTAGGTTTTAAAGCATCACATATTTTGCGTGAGTAACTACCTTTTAGTAGTAATGTTTTAAAGTCCAAGAAATTGTGAAAACGCCATTTATAATATAGGAAATGTTAAGACTGTTTCAAGAAATGATCAAAAGTGATTGAGAAAAACTGGACGAAAGGGCTGCAAAGCGATTTCAGATCCGGGACAAAGGCTCCAATAACAATTGAGAAAGTGTTATGTAACGAGAAGAGAGAGGAAGCAAAGTCATAAGGAAACAAATAAGTAGAATAAAAAAAAGTCAGATATGCAGCAGAGTAACCAGCAGCATTTATATCAGAATCTGTCAGCACACTTTTGTAATTTTGTAACGTTTCTCTATTTCTTTCTCTACTGTTTAATTACTATTATAAAAATGACCAAATTAATTGTATATTTTGATTATTTTTCTTTCTTTTTTTACACATGGAGGATTCCCCTCGACCTGAACTGTTTGATTTCCATGGAGTTCCAATGTCCCACTTTTTCACAGACAACTGGGAGAACATCCAAAACTTTCAGGCCAGGCCCGATGATATACTTATTGCAACATACCCCAAAGCAGGTCAGTCCTTGAACAGCCAGATTAAAGGCCTCATAACATATGTGTGTATAAAGGTAATGAGTGGAGATTGTTTAGTTTACTCTGTCTCTCTGTGTGTATGTCAGGAACCACCTGGGCCTCCTACATTCTGGACCTGCTGTATTTTGGTCAGCAAGAGCGCCAGACATCCGTCCCAATCTATGACAGGGTGCCTTTCTTGGAGGCTTTCTTCCCGCCTCATCATTCAGGTTCAACAGATGATCAATTATTCACATCCATGCATCACAAACATAAAAAACCCTTATTTAAAGTTATATTCTATTTAGTGGAATTTAGCGGTGAAATTGCAGCTTGCAAACAACTCAACATCCCTTCACTGACTATAGGCCAACACCACACATGAAGATTATAAAAAGCCAATGCTTTATAGACCAGCTCTAAGAGATTCAGAAGAAAAGTTATATTTTGTGTGTTCTTGAACTCCTTTGTTGACTTTTTAAACGTTATCATTGTATGTGCAAGGTTCAAATGCTTTTTATTAGTGTCACAAGACACAGAATGTACCTCACTGTAGCAATCGAGTAACCATTCATTACTTAAAGCTCCCATGTCATGCTTTTCCGGTTATTACCCGTCCCCTTGTGTGTTATGAAGGTTTTTATGCATGTAAACGGTGTGCAGAGTCAAAACCCTCAAAGTACACCCTGTAGCGAGTAAAACTCTAACACAGAAAATACCTCCCCAAAACGCCTCGTTGGAGATACGTCACTGCCCATTTGAGTCTTCCATTTAGTTCCGGGTACCGCCTGATGTCATGCGGTACCCGGAACGAAATGGACCAATCCCGAAGAGCTATGGCCACACCAGCAGCGGCGTGTTCCTCCTCCAGAGGTTCGAAGAACCGGCATTTCACAGACGAAAGCTTCCAAAACATTGCCCAGTTTGAGGCCGGATATGCACAGCTTGTTTGGACCGTTTGGAGCAGGGGAAGATCTGGGTATACAACCTGTAAGTTTGCATTGTTATTTGTGTATTTATCAAACAAGACTGTTTAAATGTGTAAACTGTGTTGGACTGCTAAGCCATTGACACAGTGCTAACTGTGCTAACTAAGTTGCTAGAGTTTCCATATATCAACTCTAATATCAGCAGATGGCCTTGCATACATGTATCTCATAGCAGGAGAATGTCTGCATTCACACACAAAATACCTATTGACAGTATACTCCGGGTGATTTGCCGGTCAGTCGCGAAACGTAATTACATTATAGCTGGCGTAGCGACCTAACACACGGAGCTAGAGCTAGTTTTGGTCAGAAAAACATTTTTGTGATGCTACGTTGCTAGCGTTTAAATATATCAACTACAATGTCAGCAGATGGCCTTACATGTTTGTCATGGCAGGAGAATGTCTGCAGTCACACACACGGAATACTCATACAGTATACTGTACTGTGATTTACCGTACATTGTGACCGTACATATACTGCATGTAGCTAACGAGGCTAGCTGTATGCTAGCGCAAAACAATGTATTCATGCAAGTTACATTGTATGACCGAACGTAGCAGAATACCCGTATACGATTGCAATTATAAACACGTTATTGCTAGCCTAATATGAACCACTAGCTTTTGTTCATAGTAGTTTTATTACACTGCATTATAGTTGCCTTTCCTCCAAGCTAACGTTCATATCGTGTTAGCTACCAAGGTAAACAAAGCTAGGTTAGCATATTAGCAGGCAAGCTGTTCATTACACAACTACTACTAACGAATCTAAAACAACTAAGTTTCTCTAATATTTTGTGATTTGCATTTGATTTCGTCCAGCCAGATCCTGGCGGACAATCCATGACGGGGAAGGGATTCTACTACTACTGAGGGTGCTAAAAGGCACCGCACCGACTGTGCGCAGGCAAGATGCGAGGAGGAGGAATGGATGATATACCGTGTATATATGTATATTTATGTTCATTTTGTACATTTCTAAAAATAAAGTTTAATGGAAATACTTAGTAGGCCTATCCTTTCTTCCCTGAATTCATATATAGCAAACCATGATTTGATTTCTCATCAAACAGTAGTAGTTTATAACGGGTAAAAATAACTTACTCTTTGTTATGAGAGTAGCTCGTAGGCCACAACGGAAAGACAAGGAGACATACACGAGTTTACAAAACCACGGCACATTTATTGTGGTAAATGCAGAGACCGGTGGTTGAGAGGATCGCAGAGTTAGTCTTCCTGCAGCCGCTTTGGAGAGAGACTGTGTCCGGAGGTGTCCGTGATCGTGCTGATTAGCCTCTTCAGCTCCACCCCATCGTAAGACAAAGGCCCTGGGGCCGTCACACTCTTCTATAACAACAGTTAAAAATATATATGTATATAAAATATACCGCTGTACCGACGCCATGATAAGACTGATGTTACGCTGAGAGCAGCCGGGAAAAGCACTGACATGGGCGCAGCCTCTCTGGTGGTTGACTAATCAGAACGAGTGGCCGAGCTGACCAATCGGAGCACACTAGGCTCACAGGGAGGGGGGGGCAAGAGCTCCAACGAGTCGTTTAGTGGAGAAAGTGAATACTGCTGAATACACATGCTTGACAGAGATGCTGTATGCGAAACCAATGTGAGTTTGGAAAATTGCACAGTATAAATCTATTTTAGTATACCTCAACAATGTAATTATGATCAGTGGAAATGGCCATGACATGGGCCCTTTAACAGAAGTTTACAGCATCAGGGCTGGGTTCACTTCATCTTTCTTCATACAGGAAAAGATCAGGCGGACAACCTCCCCACATCTCCTCGACTCATCAAAACTCACTTTCCGGTCCAGTTTGTGCCTAAATCCTTTTGGGAACAAAACTGCAGGGTCAGTAGTTTGTGTAGTCTTTTGCAACAAAGAGAAGCAGTAGAACAACAACAAACAACAACAGACATCTAAAAGTATATTATGCCTCATCTATTATCGGTCTTATGATCTTTACGTTTTTCATGATTCTTCAGATAGTCTACGTTGCCCGCAATGCCAAAGACAACATGGTGTCTTATTTTCACTTTGACCGCATGAACCTAGCTCAGCCAGAGCCTGGAGAATGGAGCAACTTCTTCCAGAGATTCATGGAGGGAAAGAGTATGTATGAAATACAATAATAATAATAGGCTTGGATCAAATGCAAAGATTTCTACTGAAAAATACTGACATATTTGTATGTATCCTTCTGTGGGATCAGTGGTGTTTGGATCGTGGTACGACCATGTGAACGACTGGTGGAAAAAGAAAGAGAGTTATCCAAAAATCCATTACATGTTCTATGAAGACATGATTGAGGTAATGTAGTTGTTATTAGGTGTTGCTATTCAGGCTACCTTTCTTCTCTAGCATAACAATGAGACGGTGAACTGACCACTGTGTTTACAGGATACTGGACGGGAGATAGACAAACTCTGCAGCTTTCTTGGTTTGTCTCCTTCTGCAGAGGACAAGATGAAGGTTACAGGGGGGGTGCAGTTTGACAATATGAAAAAGGACGGCATGGCAAACTATTCTACGAACCCAGTTATGGATTTCAAGATTTCTCCTTTCATGAGAAAAGGTAAATTGATGAATAAATACCGACAAGTATGTAATGAGAAAAAACTAATCACATCTCCACTTTGAGCTAAAACACCTGATTTATTCTCTGTGGTTCTGCAGGGAAAGTTGGTGACTGGAAGAACCATTTCACTGTGGCCCAGAGTGAACAATTTGATGAAGACTACAAGAAAAAGATGAAGGATGCAACACTTCAGTTCCGCACTAAAGTTTGAACAGAACTGGTGCTGTGTATTTTTGGGGATCAATGACTGACTGGGCATGAGTCTTCTCTGTGAGACAATCAAAATATATGTACTCTTATAGTAGAACCGTAGAATCTATGTTTATTATACATGAGGCTTTACAAATCTCCAGGATTATTATTACATGATAAAGAGCCTCACATTTATCATTATTAATCCCAAAGCCCTAACAGAATAACCATAAAAGAACATTAAAAAAATACTATAGCACATGTTAAAGAAAGTAATGTTCAAATTGAAGTTATTGTTCTCATTGTCCATTTGTCCTTTCTGCAGAAGTGGGATAACTGTATTGCTTTGTATATGATATTTGTATATTTGTAATTAAACAACAGCTCCTTCATGTGGTTCATTTCGTTTTCGTCTTCTTCCGAGACGTTAAATAAATAATAAAAAACAGAGATACAGGACAAGCTAGAAAGAGACTGGCACTTAAAAACTAAAACGTCATGCTTTTATAACCTTCTGCGGGAGTCTCATCCACCCAAATGTGTAGGCCTTAAGATATGCTGGGAGAAGGACATAGAGGAAGAGAAAACTGGTGAAACATGGGGGGAAATTATTGGGTCATGGTTTAAAGTTTCAAGGGAAATACAGATATGTCTGATTAATTGTAAAATCATCAATAGAACATATTGGACCCCAAGTAAAATGGCAAGGCTAGGACTCAGAGGCTCCGACTTGTGTTGGAGATGTGATACTACATGTGGCACTCTACTGCACATGTTGTATTCATGCCCCATAATAGATATCTTATGGTCGAAGATTATTACCTTCATTAATACAGTAATGGCTTCCTCTCTGGTACAGGGACCAATGATTTGCATACTAGGTATGGTACCAAAGGAAAGTGGTTTGAATGCCCACCAGATCTCATGGTGCAGATCAGAATAGCACTTATTACTGGATGTAGGATAGTGTTGCAACATTGGAAAGCTAAAGGGGATATATCCCTTAAGGAATGGATGGACGAAATAGCCAAAATCTCCTCCTATGAAAGATGATGTTATAAGATGATGGATAGAATAGATATATACATGAAAATATGGCTTTTGTGGCGGTGACTTGAAGTGCTGGAGAGCTCCCCCCTTTCAAATAATTGAAAACATGAAAATAAAGTTACAATGTGATGTACTATGTATTTGATAAATATAATGTGTTGTATTTCAGTATGTGCAGGATGGTTTGCATACCGCGTATCATGTATATCGTGTATACCATGGATGATGCTCTCCCTCTGTGATGTTCCCTTTGTCCGTCTTTTCTGTTCTTGTACTGTGGTACTTTGATATGTTGATATGTGATACATTTAGCAGGCTGTGTTGGCATGTATGTTTTCTTTGTCTGAAAAAACAAAGAAAAAACATCTGAATCATGTTAATGTTGTACTGCACTGTAACTTTTATTCATAAGTGTTTATATTATTATCCTTGCTTTTTAATTGCCTATTTATAATGTGTTTCCACTGCACTATTTCTTAATGCTCTCAAAGTCTTTCACTTTTGTACCTTACCTTACCTTACAGCCTGATTTATCCAGACTTTGTTATATAGTATTTTACCTAGAAATGGGTATGGTTAAGATTTTAACCGTGCTACTTGGCCCCAACACTGCTTATCGATCCAGTACTTTAACGGTATTTTTATCGGTTCTTTTTTTGTATTTTTAAGGAAAGAACCAAACAAATTGTAAACACAATAAACATTGCTTTATTTGATATACAGTATATTCATGTTGCATTGTTAAAACAAGTCCATTAATCAGGGCGTGGAACTAAAATCCGTAAAGGATTTAAAAGTTTCACTTTTATCTAGGGGAAAGGGGAGTGGCTAGAAGACCATATCAGATCTGGGACTCTACCTCCAATGTAATGCTGCGTAGTGTGAGAACAGACAGGAATATAAAGAGGGAAAGGCTTCAGCAGGAGAAGAGAACAGTTTCAGATATACAGCGGAGTAACCAGCAGCATTCACCATGTCATTTTATCAGGTCAAGGTATTTCTTCAAATTCATCTTAAGTAATTTCTCTAAGAGCTATATTGTGGTTTACTTTTAAGTAAGGTTCATTTTCTTGTTTGACATGTAATGGTGGGAAGAATGATAAATGCATGCAAAGGTTTCATGCATTCATTCACTTTTTAGCACAACGTTCTGTGTTCAACCCATGGTTCAACCGCACTGGTGGGGTTTTTTATTTTCAAAAACTAGGTTTTAAAGCATCACATATTTTGCGTGAGTAACTACCTTTTAGTAGTAATGTTTTAAAGTCCAAGAAATTGTTAAAACGCCATTTATAATATAGGAAATGTTAAGACTGTTTCAAGAAATGATCAAAAGTGATTGAGAAAAACTGGACGGAAGGGCTGCAAAGCGATTTCAGATCCGGGACAAAGGCTCCAATAACAATTGAGAAAGTGTTATGTAACGAGAAGAGAGAGGAAGCAAAGTCATAAGGAAACAAATAAGTAGAATAAAAAAAATGTCAGATATGTAGCAGAGTAACCAGCAGCATTTATATCAGAATCTGTCAGCACACTTTTGTAATTTTGTAACGTTTCTCTATTTCTTTCTCTACTGTTTAATTACTATTATAAAAATGACCAAATTAATTGTATATTTTGATTATTTTTCTTTCTTTTTTTACACATGGAGGATTCCCCTCGACCTGAACTGTTTGATTTCCATGGAGTTCCAATGTCCCACTTTTTCACAGACAACTGGGAGAACATCCAAAACTTTCAGGCCAGGCCCGATGATATACTTATTGCAACATACCCCAAAGCAGGTCAGTCCTTGAACAGCCAGATTAAAGGCCTCATAAAATATGTGTGTATAAAGGTAATGAGTGGAGATTGTTTAGTTTACTCTGTCTCTCTGTGTGTATGTCAGGAACCACCTGGGCCTCCTACATTCTGGACCTGCTGTATTTTGGTCAGCAAGAGCGCCAGACATCCGTCCCAATCTATGACAGGGTGCCTTTCTTGGAGGCTTTCTTCCCGCCTCATCATTCAGGTTCAACAGATGATCAATTATTCACATCCATGCATCACAAACATAAAAAACCCTTATTTAAAGTTATATTCTATTTAGTGGAATTTAGCGGTGAAATTGCAGCTTGCAAACAACTCAACATCCCTTCACTGACTATAGGCCAACACCACACATGAAGATTATAAAAAGCCAATGCTTTATAGACCAGCTCTAAGAGATTCAGAAGAAAAGTTATATTTTGTGTGTTCTTGAACTCCTTTGTTGACTTTTTAAACGTTATCATTGTATGTGCAAGGTTCAAATGCTTTTTATTAGTGTCACAAGACACAGAATGTACCTCACTGTAGCAATCGAGTAACCATTCATTACTTAAAGCTCCCATGTCATGCTTTTCCGGTTATTACCCGTCCCCTTGTGTGTTATGAAGGTTTTTATGCATGTAAACGGTGTGCAGAGTCAAAACCCTCAAAGTACACCCTGTAGCGAGTAAAACTCTAACACAGAAAATACCTCCCCAAAACGCCTCGTTGGAGATACGTCACTGCCCATTTGAGTCTTCCATTTAGTTCCGGGTACCGCCTGATGTCATGCGGTACCCGGAACGAAATGGACCAATCCCGAAGAGCTATGGCCACACCAGCAGCGGCGTGTTCCTCCTCCAGAGGTTCGAAGAACCGGCATTTCACAGACGAAAGCTTCCAAAACATTGCCCAGTTTGAGGCCGGATATGCACAGCTTGTTTGGACCGTTTGGAGCAGGGGAAGATCTGGGTATACAACCTGTAAGTTTGCATTGTTATTTGTGTATTTATCAAACAAGACTGTTTAAATGTGTAAACTGTGTTGGACTGCTAAGCCATTGACACAGTGCTAACTGTGCTAACTAAGTTGCTAGAGTTTCCATATATCAACTCTAATATCAGCAGATGGCCTTGCATACATGTATCTCATAGCAGGAGAATGTCTGCATTCACACACAAAATACCTATTGACAGTATACTCCGGGTGATTTGCCGGTCAGTCGCGAAACGTAATTACATTATAGCTGGCGTAGCGACCTAACACACGGAGCTAGAGCTAGTTTTGGTCAGAAAAACATTTTTGTGATGCTACGTTGCTAGCGTTTAAATATATCAACTACAATGTCAGCAGATGGCCTTACATGTTTGTCATGGCAGGAGAATGTCTGCAGTCACACACACGGAATACTCATACAGTATACTGTACTGTGATTTACCGTACATTGTGACCGTACATATACTGCATGTAGCTAACGAGGCTAGCTGTATGCTAGCGCAAAACAATGTATTCATGCAAGTTACATTGTATGACCGAACGTAGCAGAATACCCGTATACGATTGCAATTATAAACACGTTATTGCTAGCCTAATATGAACCACTAGCTTTTGTTCATAGTAGTTTTATTACACTGCATTATAGTTGCCTTTCCTCCAAGCTAACGTTCATATCGTGTTAGCTACCAAGGTAAACAAAGCTAGGTTAGCATATTAGCAGGCAAGCTGTTCATTACACAACTACTACTAACGAATCTAAAACAACTAAGTTTCTCTAATATTTTGTGATTTGCATTTGATTTCGTCCAGCCAGATCCTGGCGGACAATCCATGACGGGGAAGGGATTCTACTACTACTGAGGGTGCTAAAAGGCACCGCACCGACTGTGCGCAGGCAAGATGCGAGGAGGAGGAATGGATGATATACCGTGTATATATGTATATTTATGTTCATTTTGTACATTTCTAAAAATAAAGTTTAATGGAAATACTTAGTAGGCCTATCCTTTCTTCCCTGAATTCATATATAGCAAACCATGATTTGATTTCTCATCAAACAGTAGTAGTTTATAACGGGTAAAAATAACTTACTCTTTGTTATGAGAGTAGCTCGTAGGCCACAACGGAAAGACAAGGAGACATACACGAGTTTACAAAACCACGGCACATTTATTGTGGTAAATGCAGAGACCGGTGGTTGAGAGGATTGCAGAGTTAGTCTTCCTGCAGCCGCTTTGGAGAGAGACTGTGTCCGGAGGTGTCCGTGATCGTGCTGATTAGCCTCTTCAGCTCCACCCCATCGTAAGACAAAGGCCCTGGGGCCGTCACACTCTTCTATAACAACAGTTAAAAATATATATGTATATAAAATATACCGCTGTACCGACGCCATGATAAGACTGATGTTACGCTGAGAGCAGCCGGGAAAAGCACTGACATGGGCGCAGCCTCTCTGGTGGTTGACTAATCAGAACGAGTGGCCGAGCTGACCAATCGGAGCACACTAGGCTCACAGGGAGGGGGGGGCAAGAGCTCCAACGAGTCGTTTAGTGGAGAAAGTGAATACTGCTGAATACACATGCTTGACAGAGATGCTGTATGCGAAACCAATGTGAGTTTGGAAAATTGCACAGTATAAATCTATTTTAGTATACCTCAACAATGTAATTATGATCAGTGGAAATGGCCATGACATGGGCCCTTTAACAGAAGTTTACAGCATCAGGGCTGGGTTCACTTCATCTTTCTTCATACAGGAAAAGATCAGGCGGACAACCTCCCCACATCTCCTCGACTCATCAAAACTCACTTTCCGGTCCAGTTTGTGCCTAAATCCTTTTGGGAACAAAACTGCAGGGTCAGTAGTTTGTGTAGTCTTTTGCAACAAAGAGAAGCAGTAGAACAACAACAAACAACAACAGACATCTAAAAGTATATTATGCCTCATCTATTATCGGTCTTATGATCTTTACGTTTTTCATGATTCTTCAGATAGTCTACGTTGCCCGCAATGCCAAAGACAACATGGTGTCTTATTTTCACTTTGACCGCATGAACCTAGCTCAGCCAGAGCCTGGAGAATGGAGCAACTTCTTCCAGAGATTCATGGAGGGAAAGAGTATGTATGAAATACAATAATAATAATAGGCTTGGATCAAATGCAAAGATTTCTACTGAAAAATACTGACATATTTGTATGTATCCTTCTGTGGGATCAGTGGTGTTTGGATCGTGGTACGACCATGTGAACGACTGGTGGAAAAAGAAAGAGAGTTATCCAAAAATCCATTACATGTTCTATGAAGACATGATTGAGGTAATGTAGTTGTTATTAGGTGTTGCTATTCAGGCTACCTTTCTTCTCTAGCATAACAATGAGACGGTGAACTGACCACTGTGTTTACAGGATACTGGACGGGAGATAGACAAACTCTGCAGCTTTCTTGGTTTGTCTCCTTCTGCAGAGGACAAGATGAAGGTTACAGGGGGGGTGCAGTTTGACAATATGAAAAAGGACGGCATGGCAAACTATTCTACGAACCCAGTTATGGATTTCAAGATTTCTCCTTTCATGAGAAAAGGTAAATTGATGAATAAATACCGACAAGTATGTGATGAGAAAAAACTAATCACATCTCCACTTTGAGCTAAAACACCTGATTTATTCTCTGTGGTTCTGCAGGGAAAGTTGGTGACTGGAAGAACCATTTCACTGTGGCCCAGAGTGAACAATTTGATGAAGACTACAAGAAAAAGATGAAGGATGCAACACTTCAGTTCCGCACTAAAGTTTGAACAGAACTGGTGCTGTGTATTTTTGGGGATCAATGACTGACTGGGCATGAGTCTTCTCTGTGAGACAATCAAAATATATGTACTCTTATAGTAGAACCGTAGAATCTATGTTTATTATACATGAGGCTTTACAAATCTCCAGGATTATTATTACATGATAAAGAGCCTCACATTTATCATTATTAATCCCAAAGCCCTAACAGAATAACCATAAAAGAACATTAAAAAAATACTATAGCACATGTTAAAGAAAGTAATGTTCAAATTGAAGTTATTGTTCTCATTGTCCATTTGTCCTTTCTGCAGAAGTGGGATAACTGTATTGCTTTGTATATGATATTTGTATATTTGTAATTAAACAACAGCTCCTTCATGTGGTTCATTTCGTTTTCGTCTTCTTCCGAGACGTTAAATAAATAATAAAAAACAGAGATACAGGACAAGCTAGAAAGAGACTGGCACTTAAAAACTAAAACGTCATGCTTTTATAACCTTCTGCGGGAGTCTCATCCACCCAAATGTGTAGGCCTTAAGATATGCTGGGAGAAGGACATAGAGGAAGAGAAAACTGGTGAAACATGGGGGGAAATTATTGGGTCATGGTTTAAAGTTTCAAGGGAAATACAGATATGTCTGATTAATTGTAAAATCATCAATAGAACATATTGGACCCCAAGTAAAATGGCAAGGCTAGGACTCAGAGGCTCCGACTTGTGTTGGAGATGTGATACTACATGTGGCACTCTACTGCACATGTTGTATTCATGCCCCATAATAGATAGCTTATGGTCGAAGATTATTACCTTCATTAATACAGTAATGGCTTCCTCTCTGGTACAGGGACCAATGATTTGCATACTAGGTATGGTACCAAAGGAAAGTGGTTTGAATGCCCACCAGATCTCATGGTGCAGATCAGAATAGCACTTATTACTGGATGTAGGATAGTGTTGCAACATTGGAAAGCTAAGGGGGATATATCCCTTGAGGAATGGATGGACGAAATAGCCAAAATCTCCACCTATGAAAGATGATGTTATAAGATGATGGATAGAATAGATATATACATGAAAATATGGCTTTTGTGGCGGTGACTTGAAGTGCTGGAGAGCTCCCCCCTTTCAAATAATTGAAAACATGAAAATAAAGTTACAATGTGATGTACTATGTATTTGATAAATATAATGTGTTGTATTTCAGTATGTGCAGGATGGTTTGCATACCGCGTATCATGTATATCGTGTATACCATGGATGATGCTCTCCCTCTGTGATGTTCCCTTTGTCCGTCTTTTCTGTTCTTGTGCTGTGGTACTTTGATATGTTGATATGTGATACATTTAGCAGGCTGTGTTGGCATGTATGTTTTCTTTTTCTGAAAAAACAAAGAAAAAACATCTGAATCATGTTAATGTTGTACTGCACTGTAACTTTTATTCATATGTGTTTATATTATTATCCTTGCTTTTTAATTGCCTATTTATAATGTGTTTCCACTGCACTATTTCTTAATGCTCTCAAAGTCTTTCACTTTTGTACCTTGCCTGATTACAGCCTGATTTATCCAGACTTTGTTATATAGTATTTTACCTAGAAATGGGTATGGTTAAGATTTTAACCGTGCTACTTGGCCCCAACACTGCTTATCGATCCAGTACTTTAACGGTATTTTTATCGGTTCTTTTTTTGTATTTTTAAGGAAAGAACCAAACAAATTGTAAACACAATAAACATTGCTTTATTTGATATACAGTATATTCATGTTGCATTGTTAAACAAGTCCATTAATCAGGGCGTGGAACTAAAATCCGTAAAGGATTTAAAAGTTTGACTTTTATCTAGGCGAAAGGGGAGTGGCTAGAAGACCATATCAGATCTGGGACTCTACCTCCAATGTAATGCTGTGTAGTGTGAGAACAGACAGGAATATAAAGAGGGAAAGGCTTCAGCAGGAGAAGAGAAAAGTTTCAGATATACAGCGGAGTAACCAGCAGCATTCACCATGTCATTAGATCAGTACAAGGTATTTCTTCAAATTCATCTTAAGTAATTTCTCTAAGAGCTATATTGTGGTTTACTTTTAAGTAAGGTTCATTTTCTTGTTTGACATGTAATGGTGGGAAGAATGACAAATGCATGCAAAGGTTTCATGCATTCATTCACTTTTTAGCACGACTTTCTGTGTTCAACCCATGGTTCAACCGCACTGGTGGGGTTTTTTTATTTTCAAAAACTAGGTTTTAAAGCATCACATATTTTGCGTGAGTAACTACCTTTTAGTAGTAATGTTTTAAAGTCCAAGAAATTGAGAAAATGCCACTTATAATATAGGAAATGTTAAGACTGTTTCAAGAAATGATCAAAAGTGATTGAGAAAAACTGGACGTAAGGGCTGCAAAGCGATTTCAGATCCGGGACAAAGGCTCCAATAACAATTGAGAAAGTGTTATGTAACGAGAAGAGAGAGGAAGCAAAGTCATAAGGAAACAAATAAGTAGAATAAAAAAAAGTTAGATATGCAGCAGATTAACCAGCAGCATTTATATCAGAATCTGTCAGCACACTTTTGTAATTTTACGTTTCTCTATTTCTTTCTCTACTGTTTAATTACTATTATAAAAATGACCAAATTAATTGTATATTTTGATTATTTTTCTTTCTTTTTTTACACATGGAGGATTCCCCTCGACCTGAACTGTTTGATTTCCATGGAGTTCCAATGTCCCACTTTTTCACAGACAACTGGGAGAACATCCAAAACTTTCAGGCCAGGCCCGATGATATACTTATTGCAACATACCCCAAAGCAGGTCAGTCCTTGAACAGCCAGATTAAAGGCCTCATAACATATGTGTGTATAAAGGTAATGAGTGGAGATTGTTTAGTTTACTCTGTCTCTCTGTGTGTATGTCAGGAACCACCTGGGCCTCCTACATTCTGGACCTGCTGTATTTTGGTCAGCAAGAGCGCCAGACATCCGTCCCAATCTATGACAAGGTGCCTTTCTTGGAGGCTTTCTTCCCGCCTCATCATTCAGGTTCAACAGATGATCAATTATTCACATCCATGCATCACAAACATAAAAAACCCTTATTTAAAGTTATATTCTATTTAGTGGAATCTTGCGGTGAAATTGCAGCTTGCAAACAACTCAACATCCCTTCACTGACTATAGGCCAACACCCAACATGAAGATTATGAAGGTCAACATTATATAGACCAGCCCTAAGAGATTAAGAAGTAAAGTTACATTTTGTGTATTTTTGACATCCTTTGTTCCTTTGTTGACTTTTTAAACGTTATCATTGTGTGTGCAAGGTTGACCTCAATGTAGCAATCGAGTAACCATGACTTAACAGAAGTTTACAGCATCAGGGCTGGGTTCACTTTGTCTTTCTTCATACAGGAAAAGATCAGGCGGACAACCTCCCCACATCTCCTCGACTCATCAAAACTCACTTTCCAGTCCAGTTTGTGCCTAAATCCTTTTTGGAACAAAACTGCAGGGTCAGTTTGTGTATTTTTTGCATCGAATCATGTGTGCATGATCACAAGATGCTGAAATAGAGGGAAAAGTGACTCATATTTAATGTAAAGGCTAAATGGTAACAAAGAGAAGCAGTAGAACAAACAACAACAGAAATGTAAAAGTATATTATGTCTCTACTATTATCGGTCTTATGATCTTTACGTTTTTCATGATTCTTCAGATAGTCTACGTTGCCCGCAATGCCAAAGACAACATGGTGTCTTATTTTCACTTTGACCGCATGAACCTAGCTGAGCCAGAGCCTGGAGATTGGAGCAACTTCTTCCAGAGATTCATGGAGGGAAAGAGTATGAATGAAATACAATAATAATAATAGGCTTGGATCAAATGCAAAGATTTCTACTGAAAAATACTGACATATTTGTATGTGCCCTTCTGTGGGATCAGTGGTGTTTGGATCGTGGTACGACCATGTGAACGACTGGTGGAAAAAGAAAGAGAGTTATCCAAAAATCCATTACATGTTCTATGAAGACATGATTGAGGTAATGTAGTTGTTATTAGGTGTTGCTATTCAGGCTACCTTTCTTCTCTAGCATAACAATGAGACGGTGAACTGACCACTGTGTTTACAGGATACTGGACGGGAGATAGACAAACTCTGCAGCTTTCTTGGTTTGTCTCCTTCTGCAGAGGACAAGATGAAGGTTACAGGGGGGGTGCAGTTTGACAATATGAAAAAGGACGGCATGGCAAACTATTCTACGAACCCAGTTATGGATTTCAAGATTTCTCCTTTCATGAGAAAAGGTAAATTGAGGAATAAATACCGACAAGTATGTGATGAGAAAAAACTAATCACATCTCCACTTTGAGCTAAAACACCTGATTTATTCTCTGTGGTTCTGCAGGGAAAGTTGGTGACTGGAAGAACCATTTCACTGTGGCCCAGAGTGAACAATTTGATGAAGACTACAAGAAAAAGATGAAGGATGCAACACTTCAGTTCCGCACTGAAGTGTGAACAGAACTGGACGGGCTGTGTATTTTTGGGGATCAATGACTGACTGGGCATATGTCTTCTCTGTGAGACAATCAAAATATATGTACGCTTATAGTAGAACCGTAGAATCTATGATTATTATACATGAGGCTTTACAAATCTCCAGGTTTAGCCTCACATACAATATTATTGCACATGTTAAAGAAAGTAATACTCAACCTAGTATTGAAGTTATTGTTCTCATCATCCATCTGTCCTTTCTGCAGAAGTGGGATAACTGTATTGCTTTGTATACGATATGTGTATATTTGTAATTAAACAGCAGCTCATTCATGTGGTTCATTTTGTTTTTGTCTTCTTCCGAGACGTTGAATAACTAAAAATGATCAATGATACGACAAATTATATTCTGATCTTGTTGTTTTTGTTTTGTTCATCGTGCTCCAACGGCTGCTGTTTGACTGATTGACATTTATTATAAATTGATTATGAAAATTGTGATTGTTACAGTTTTCTTCAGACAATTTTAGATTTTCTTTGTTAATATTTGAACATTTATGTGACCTGCATTGACAATACAACATGGTCCCTTATTTTCAAGTTGAACGCATGACAAGCAGCTATCTCCAGTTAATTTGATTTTAAGAGTAAGAATGAGGAATTGAAATGAAGTGATACACAGATTTACACATCTACAATGCTTTCCTTCATCACTTTGGTTTCTGGTACAACCATCTTAACGGCTGTTGAAAGTTTGTAGTTTGAGAGTGGGAAAAACCTACAGTTGTCAAACTACTAAAGTAATTTTCCAAAACAGTGCTGTAGGTGGTAGTAGTGCACATTTTATATGTAGAGAGCATCCTGACTGGCTACATCACGGCCTGGTACGGCAGCTGCACCGCCCTCAACCGTAAGACCCTACAGAGGGTGGTGAAAACTGCACAGCACATCACCAGGACGGAGCTGCCATCCATGGAGGACCTCTACTCCCAGCGGCTCAGGAAGAAAGCCCTCAGGATTATCAAAGACCCCAGCAACAAACTGTTCTGTCTGCTGCCGTCTGGCAGGCGGTACCGCAGCATCAGGACTAAAACCACGAGACTCAGGGACAGTTTCATCCCACAGGCCATAACACTGTTGAACACCTGAACTCTGTAAAGAACATGCATAACATTCATCTGTTTGCATCTCACAATTTATCTTCTTGCACTATTTCAATTTTATTTGTATTTACTTGCACATCTCAAAACATTTTCTAGCACTATTTTATTTCTATTCTGTTATTTCTTGCACTATTTGTATGGGTTTTATCTGTTTTAAGTCCCATATATTCATGTTGCATTGTTCAAGGAGCCTGGGACTTTTTCATTGCCATATATACAGCTACTTTGCACATGACAATAAAGCCTTGAATCTTGACATGTTTGGACAGGTGTTTACGGCCTTACCTAAACACTTCATCCCTGGCAAACAAGCAATGTCCACATCGAACCTTATAAAGTTAAACCACATTTTTTAACGCTTCGCTCTCCCCTTTTTTGTCACCAGCAGATCTCTGTATGAGAGAATTACTCTCTCTGATAGAAAGAACTGTAATGTTGGAGCAGATACCACATCTTTAAAAATATAGGACCGTGGCGGCTCCCCATGACATAAGTAAGTAAGTAAGTAAAATGTATTTATAAAGCTCTTTTCACAGACATATCATCATCATCATCAGCTTTATTTAAGAGACTCTAGGTCCATTTTTTTTTAAAGACATACAACACTCAAATATAAATTAAAAAAGGCAGTTATACCAATGTTTCCACAGAGGTGACTGAGACACGGATTTGAAAGCAGCATAATGACAGAGTTATGAGAAACATTCAATCGACAGATGAATTTGTACATTAGATTTCTCAAGAGAGCATGGAACGTGTTGACTCGTGCATTACAAAACATTTCACTTGCACTGCACCACCTTGGTTTTCTAAGCAGTATACGCAAACAATCACTATAAGCCCCCCCGGGCGAACTCCATTACCAACACCAAATGGCGCCGAAACTGCATTCCCCAATTTTATCCGCATGCTCTGGTTGGCATACCAATAAGCCAGGATCCTAATTATACTGTTGGGCACACCCCTTTGTCTAAAAACAGTTTTTGATGGTTAACTCGGTCAAACGCCTTAGAGGCATCAATAAAACCAATCAGAACAGTGAACTTCTATATGTTTCTACCATTTCCTTCAAAGCATAGATGCATAGCTCAGTACCATGCTTAGCCTTGAAGCCAAACTGGTTATCTGAGGTACATAAATAAGAACATAATCTATCTAACAAAATTATTTCCAGGACTTTGGATAACACACTGGCTAGAGCAATTGGTTTATAATTATCCAAGCTCCTTACCTTGCCCGCTTTGTCCTTAATGACAGGCACCAAAGAAACAGTCAACATGGAGTCCGGCAACATACCATGAGTCATTACAACCCACATCAACACACAAAGTTGCTACTTTGGGTAGACATCACTCAATAGGACATCAGTTCTCCCATAGTACAATAGCCTATCCTCATTTGTGAGCTTGGACCAATCCACTTTAGTGTTACAGGCATTTTTAACCTCCTGAGACATCTCAGGGAGACTATCACAATCTAGTGACATTACAAAAGGAATGTGATCAGACATGGATGCCTCATACACAATCTCAATTGATCTTAAAATGTCATGGGCATTAGCAGTGCTGATGCAATGGTTATATGGGTGTTGAGAGATGTATCCATAGATCTCTTCATTTTGCTCTCAAAGTGCACCAGATTGACTTAACTTCAATATTTAAAAGAAAATCTTCCCGGGGGAGCATGCCACCGGACCCCCCTATGTTAGGTCCACTCCCCACTTATAAAAATAGGACTTTACCCCTGCTTACACCTATATGCCGTGAGCTGATTATTGAGCCTTCAATGTGTATTTTGCCAAATATCAGCATTTTCTTTCTTTTCATTTTTTTGCACAGATTGCAAAGTGGCAAAGTATTATAACTTATTGTTCTAGCAAAGGGTTTGCACAATTGTATTATGTTTTTTTTTTTTTTTACCACACAGACTTATGGAGCATTGTTTTATTATCACTGTTCTAGCAAAGGAATGCTCACGTTCATATTGATGTATTTTAATAAATGTTAACTTGGCCCATTACGTGACTATTTGTGTTGGGGGGGGCCCGACTTTTTTTTTTTCTCCAAAGGGGGGGCCTGACAGAAAAGGTTTGAGAACCACTGGTTTAGAGAAATGTATCATGCACTTACACTGACTTTCCACTGAGTGGCAGTGTATGGGATGATGCAATAGGGTCCTATGTTGTGGCTGATGGTGCAACCATGCCATCAAAACCCATGCATATACAAGAAAACACCTTTTGAAAATCTGTCCACTGTAGTAGCCTCTATGATCCAATGATCCATAGTCACAAAGTGCTTGACAAAGCATTAAACATTATACGAATGAAGAAGTGATAAAAACACAATACATTAAAGCTGGGGTAGGTCATTTTGGAGAAACCAGCTCGAGTGCGCTAGAATTTGAAAATACACAGCCGGAAAAAATCTGCCACTTCCTTACAGAGACCCTCCTCACACGAACGTGCACATGACCAATGAGGGCACGAGATAAGTTTGTGCACAGATGGAAGGCTGACAGGCAGGTAGGCCATCCAGTTATTTTAGCCGGGCCGGCTAAAATGATTGGTCGTGCTTTTTACAGTACTACGGCTTCCACAGATGACATTTTTTAATGGATTTTTTGTCAAAGCACTTAAGATATTCATTGCTATCGGGATGTTAAGAGCATTCCATGGAATATAACAAAAAGTGTATCTCGAGCCGGTTTCTCAAACTTACCTACCCCACCTTTAATACCGGTGTGACCAGATCACGCAAACTGCTTGGGGCCTCACACTGCGGAAGGAGGTGGGTGTGATATATACGTCATATACATATTCCCAGGTGATTATTGCACAACTAACAATTATTTATTGTTGATACATTCTCAGCAGGGTGAGTACGCCTACACTCTTTTAAAATGGAAAACTCTGAAAAAGGGTTTTAAATATTTTAGTTTGAGTAATGATTATCAGCAATTATCAGTATTTTACCAGCAATGTCATTGTTGTTTGTAACTGGGTTCATTATATTATTCGATTAAAACGATAGAAACTTCACCAGCAATCTAGAGATTTATTTTACAGGAGTGAGGAAAAACAATTTAAATGGAAAAAAAAAATGTTGTAAGGAACAAATGCACATTTCTGCAGTCCATATTGTTGTTTTCAGTGGTATCTAACTTAGTACATTTACTCAATCGCTGTTCCTGTAAGTACTACGCTTTTGCTTTATTTGACTAATGTTAATTAAGCAACCCATTAATCAACTGAAATAAGCCACTTCTTTACTGAAAGTGAGGCTTACACGTTAATTCTTCGCTAACTGATATAATGTACATTATTGTATATTTTTTCATTCTGCATAATGAACGCTTCTGCCTTTTGTAATTAAGTACATTTTGATGCTAAGACTGTTCTACTTTTACCATAGTAACATTTTCAATTTCTCACTTTTACTTTTCACAGTATAATTACACTAATTTCACTTAATTAGAATATCTTCTTTTACCACTGCATTTCTTTCTGCTTACAATTAAATAAAATAGCCTGAAACAAACTTTATTCTTCAATTCCTTTATGTCACTTTAAAGGTGGGGTAGGTACGTTTGAAAACTGGCTCGAGATACACTTTTTGTTATATTCCATGGAATGCTCTTAACATCCCGATAGCAATGAATATCTTAAGTGCTTTGACAAAAATCCATAAAAAAATGTAATCTGTGGAAGCCGTAGTACTGTAAAAAGCACGACCAATCATTTTAGCCGGCCCGGCTAAAATAACTGGATGGCCTACCTGCCTGTCAGCCTTCCATCTGTGCACAAACTTATCTCGTGCCCTCATTGGTCATGTGCGCGTTCGTGTGTGTTGGAGGAGGGGCTCTATAAGGAAGTGGCAGATTTTCTCCGGTTGTGTATTTTCAAATTCTAGCGATATCGAGCCGGTTTCTCAAACTTACCTACCCTACCTTTAAGTTGTAACCGTTTTAGTCTTACATCTTATGAATATGTTTTATATGTGCATTGTTTGTTTAATGTAAAGGAGAATGTATATTACTTATCTTATGATAAATGCTAAATGGCATTGCACTGGCTGCTCATTGTTATTGGAAATACTAGTTCCAATTTGATACTTTATTATCTAGACTGGATGTAAGTGTTTCAGTATGTGTATCAATCCTGAAAGCACGGATGCTATTCAAAAGGTCATACTGGCTTTTTCAAATCAAAATAAATTATTCTCAGATGGATCGGCCAACACTGTTTGACTTCCACGGAGTCTCCATGATCAAACAATTCACTGACAGCTGGGAGGAGGTACAGAACTTCAAAGCGAGACCAGATGATATTGTTATAGTTAGTTTAGTTATCCTAAATCAGGTTGGTTTCTATCAAAGCTATACTATGAATACATTTTATGTTGATGAATTCTCTGGATTGATAGGTTTTCTATGTTTAGGCCGCTGAACAGATGTGTTGTCGATGTGTTTTAATCTCAGGAACAACATGGGTCTGTTACCTCGTGGATCTACTGTTTTTTGGGAAGACATGTCCAGAGCGCCTCGCGTCAATCCCTCTTCATGAGAGAGTGCCGTTTCTGGAGATCAGCAGAACTTCCCCTACACCAGGTTGAATTGATTTATTTTGCACATTTTATCACAGGTGAAATTTTTTGTTTAACACAGTATACTGTACAAAGTCCTATAATAGCTCTATAGTTACAACTATATCACCTCAGATCAGTTTTGTTTGCATACATGCTGAGGAGGTGATGAAAGTGTCAATGTTTCCCAGATGTTTGCCAACTTTCTGTGTCTGCTTTTGGCCCTGAGCAGAATATGTACAGAAAGGTACAGACTTGTTAGACCAGCTCACAACTACTCCTCGTCTGATTAAAACTCACCTGCCAGTCCAGTTTCTACCCAAGTCCTTCTGGGAGCAGAACAGCACGGTAAGAGCTTTACACAAACAGTATGTAGCCTGCAGAACATATGAGTTACCCAACCACATTTAAATATGAACATGATAGATTATAATTTACAATTTTCTCTTTCTGTAGATAGTCTATGTGGCTCGCAATGCAAAGGACACTGCTGTGTCGTATTACCATTTTTGCCGCATGAATTATTGCATGCCAGAACCAGCTGATTGGAGCACATTTTTACAGAATTACAAGGAGGGAAAGGGTGAGTTTAAACTAGCTTGAGTGTTTAGGAGGCTTAATATCATGTCATTTCTAATGCAGCATAGTAGGTAGAGTGGCCGTCTACCAATCCATCAATGTTTATCAATCTTAATGAGCAAGTGGTACCTTGTAGGATAGCCTCTGCCACCAGTGTATGTGTGACAGCAAAGTTGTGTGAAAAATTGTGGTCACTAAGACTAGAAAAGCGCTATTTAAACGCAGACCATTTCCCATTTATTATTATGTGGCACTAGTGTCGTACGGTTCCTGGTATGACCATGTGAGCGGCTGGTGGGAGAAGAAACAGAGTTATTCGAAACTTCACTACATGTTCTACGAAGATCTGTCTGAGGTGAGCTGCAGTGGGTGGGTTGTATTTGGGACATTTTCAAGAGAGCTGTTAATCTTAAAAATGACCAAGTAAGATACTGTATTAATCAATCTTGCCTCAAACTTAAGATCAATCTTAAAGTATTTGATATCATGTGTTTTATTCTATGTAAACGAGAGGATAGACGGTTTGCCAATGACTCCCAATACAACATATATGATCATAGTGGCGACAGGTACATGTTGTGAAAATAGTTTTAAACACGTAACGTGAATTTAAACCAAACTGCTTGGTTGGTTTTAGGAAAAGATCATGGTGTGGGTTAAAATAAGTATTTCTTACATACGTGTGGTTACGTTAAGGTTTTTAAGGTACCTTTACATAAGGTAACACAAAAAAAAGGTCAACACTTTTGAAGTAACACAGGACATAAACACTGGTCTCTTGGGTAAAAGTCCTACAGTGTTTTTGATAAATCCATACAGTGGAAGTTTGCTCTTTATACTATACTGATTGACTTCCTCCTTTGCTCTTCTACTACAACTATGGCCAATAGAGGTTTAATATGTGCAGTGATAATCTTCTTGCACAGTAATTATGGATGAACCCTAACCCTAACCCTAACCCTAACCCTAACCCTAACCCTGCAGATAAAACTGGTGGAAAGGTATTTATACTAATCTCCTGGCGTCAGTTTCATTATTATCAAACAGGAAGGAGAGGGGTATGACATTTTAAATCTCATTCTCTGCAAGAGTGGAAACACACATTTCTGACTATTATTTTCTGTTTTCTGTTATGCAATATGCATAGAGATGTTTTGGAAAATGATAGCATTTTTTTGTTGGTCAAAAAGATTATTACAATGTATATTTAATGTGTCAAGGCTGATATTCTTTCATTTTCTGCAGGACACGGGTCGAGAGATGAACCAACTCTGTTCCTTCCTTGGGTTATCTCTTTCAGCAGAGGAGAAGGAAAATGTCCTAACCAGAGTGAAGTTTGACAATATGAAAACGAACAAGATGACCAACTTTTCCACAATCCACCATATGGATCAAACCGTGTCTCCATTCATGAGAAAAGGTACAGTGGGAAAAGGTTTTTGGGAAAGAAGTTCGTTTGCCACAAAATCTGCTCATTTAACACCAATTTTATTTATCAAGGACATGAACGATTCTCTCTGTTTCTATAGGGAAAGTTGGTGACTGGAAGAACCTCTTCACTGTGTCCCAGAATGAAAAGTTTGATGAGGACTACAAGCAGAAACGGAATAATCCTACACTGCAGTTTCGTTTCGTGGGCGGCTGTGGCTCAGTGGCTAGAGTGCTGGACTTCGAATCAGGGGGTAGCAAGTTCGAGTCCCACTGCAGTCAGCGTGTCGTTGTGTCCCTGGGCAAGACACTTCACCCAAATTGCTCCTGTGGGGATTGTCCACAGTACTGAATGTATGTAAGTCGCTTTGGATAAAAGCGTCTAACAAATGACATGTAATAATGTGCAGAGGCGGCACGTGTGGCTCGGGATATGGAAGGCTAACATTTGATCAATTGTTCTGCTTGTTTTAAGCACCACAGAAGACGTTTTTATTTAACAACAGCAGTTATATGCACCTATTTGCTGAACATATAATATTGTAGAATTGGCCTGTTTATAAGGCTACTTTTAGGGGGAATTGGTGTGCAATGGATAAGGGACCAAACATGTAGAGACGGCTAAGCCTTCATACCCACCTCCCGTGTTTAGAGACAGGCCTGGCTGTTTAAAAGGTCCTGAACTGTGATTATTTTTCCATTTTACTGCATTTGATAAACAAGTGTATTGTTGAATATGTTGTGTGAGAAAAGTTTTCTTTTAATGATTGTTACTGATTACAGCAAAAAGAGGAAAAAGCCTGATTAATGGGGCCAATGGGGACATTAACATTTGCAGTATGTATTTGATCCATTTAGAACGTTTGTGAATCCTCCCAATTCCTCTCATTGTTACCATTATGCGATATCTGAAGTACATAAAAAATAAACAGCAATAATAACATGTTTACTCGTTTTTATTTGAATGCAGACATGAAATACAAGAACAAGAGTTCAATGAGCAAAGTAAACATTTGAATCTAACACTTTACTTCTGCACTGTGACCACAGACTGGGGGGGGGGCACATTGAATGTATTTTCTATGGCACGTACTGCTTTGGTGAGGAAACAACACTGCTGGAGGTACCGCCCTGTTCATAGAGTAAAAGCGGTAACAGCGAGTACTGATACTATTAAATCTTAGGGGTTCATTGGAATGTAGACAAAAAACACAAGGCCATTGTAATGTAAATACTAAACAAGTCAAGTATCACTGGGAGGTACTGGAAGTCACCCTGAGGTAACCGGAAAAACAAGTTATGGAATAGGACTCATCAGAAACAGAGGCATGATTTAAGTTTTATTCCAAAATGACACTTATCCACTTTGGAAAAATGTCACTTCTTGAAATGTTTCAATATTCACGACAGTAACCCAAGAAAACATTCACATAATGATTTTGTGAGGCTCATTTTTAAAACAAAATACGTCATATCTCATGTTGGAACAAAACTTTTCAAATACAAGACTGAGGATGAAACCACGGGGCTATATTGAAGATCACCAAACAGGATTGAGGTAAATCATTGACTAAATATGGTTCCATTTGAAGTGCTCTCTGTTTTTCCTTTTTTCTGTAACGTTGTCGTCATTCAACAGAAATAGAAGAATTAAAAATCCTGCAGATCTCGGCCATCCGTTATTCATTTAGCAAGACCAGCGTCAATATAATCTGAGCAAAACTCAGAAAGTCATGAACACGACCTCTGAAGGTAAGTATTAACTGAACAGGTCGAAATCTGATGTTGAAATAGCAATAGCATAACTGTCTGCACAGCTTGGACACATAAGCAATACCACTTTAGATTGTCTTTCACAGTAGCAACTACAACTATGTTTCAAATACACCTTTATTCATGACATCAAAAATAACAATATTTACATTGTTGCTTATACATGATATATTTGAAAGATATCTTTTCTCTTGAGTAGTAAAATACTTTAGTCTAGTGCTCAGGCTTACAGTTAAGTGCTCTGTTATTGAGTCAGGTCTATTATACGAGATCTGAGATTCATGCCAAGCCAGACTCATGTGGTGCAGCTCTGCAAAGCTGTGTGGCGTTTAGGAGCAGTGTGTAGGGTGCCGTGGCATATAGCAAACCAAAGGAATACCCCTCTGCTCACTGTTACTTTTCAAGCGTGTATAAGCACCTATAATGGTCTTTGGGTAACATAGAAAAGCTAAATCCTTCTCTATAGCCTGTGTTTGTTTGTTTTTGGCAGAAACATAGCTCTGCAACATGGCGGACTCCACGGAAGAGGATCCACTCCCTTTGTAGGTATGAAGGGCTCATTATATGTTTGCCAATAGATCCCCCATAACTCCTACACACTGCTTCTTTAACTAACATATCAAACAGTCTGAATAATTACATTCAACTGGTAGGATTGTGATTATGTTTAATATTTTTCTTCAAATCCCGTAATATTTTTTTTCAAATCCCGTAAAAATGCAGTCAGAGGCTTTAATTGTAAATAACTACTGTTGGAAAAAGCTTGGTCCTACAGCAAAATGACAAGATTAAATGCATTAACCTCACAGGTGAATGCTTGATGTTCATTGTGCAGTTCAGCTACAGCTAAAAGCCTCAGCAACAGTTTCACAAACAAGCATACATCTGCATGTTTGTTGCCATGTTTACCTCTTAATGTAACCAGCTTAACAGCATTGAAGGAAGACTGGATGAACACAGCAGCACATTAGGAGCTTAGTGATCTGTTGCTGAGTCACTATGATACTGGCAAGACGCTCGTGAGGGTTAACCCAAATAATGGGTTTATAGATCAATAAAAATAACACAGAACCATCCAAGGTTATGTATGGCACATCTTTACATTACAAAGCAACTTCAAATAAGGGAGACCGCAAATAAACTATGAGAGCAATGAAATCCACAATTGTTGATATGCAGACATTTTTTCACCAAAACAATAGGAATGGGACTTGGAGCCTTTGTTTCCTACCCTTGAAATGTATTGAACCTCTCAGTGCTGTTCCCGGACATGGGAAGAATACATTTATTACGCATTTCACATGCATTACATGTAGGGATCTGCAAAAATCCTATCCAGGAATTGTTGTAATGCGCGTCTGTTCTCGGTTTACTGGAGACGACACCAGTGCTTTGCAGGCGTGTCCGAGAGAATAACATAAAAACAAAGGAGATATGTTTGTGTGTGTGTGCGTGTGCGTGTGTGTGAGAGAGAAAGAAAGATGAGTGTGCCGTGATGTTTATCTGTGCTATATTTCCAATTTTACTCCCAGAGTAAAGGTATAACATATATTTTTTCCCAAACACAGATGTTAAATCCTTTGACAAGATAAAAGGCAACTAGATGATATCCTTTAAGGTCATCACCAAGAGACACTTTTGAATAGTTTCCCTTTTCTAAAAATGATTCATTCTTAGGCAATGATCAAATGTTCCCAATTTGTATGAAGTCTTGATCAGGAAAAGTCTTTGTTAAATGGGTGTTTAATGTGTGGTAATTGGTCCTCATGTCCAAAGTTTGGTTCATAGATCAATGATTTCACTGCTGACACTGGCAGAGTCGTCATGTCGGCTGACCTCCAGGTAACTCCGCGACCCCGCTGGCCTCCCAGCCCTCCCCCGCACCCTCTCTGAGTCTGGGGTGATGAACGGCCGCGTGTCGTCCACTCCGTCCTCCCCCAGATTCCCTGTTGACGTTCTGGAGGGACGAAGTGACACAGGGCAGGACACTGATGAGGGGACGCTTCCCATCGCGTTCCCAGGCCACCTGTTACCCTGGTGGGAGGGCGTGGGGGGAGCAGTCACCTGCCTGCTGGGGACACTGCTGAGCACGCTGCCCCCTAGTGGCATCGAAGACTCTGTCGCCTCGCTGCTATCAGAAAGCATCTGAGGATCACTGTTCCTGCGGAGCCAGGGACCCTGACTGACCCCTGACCCCGGGGAGGGGCACTGTGAGGCTTGGGCAAAAGGTTGAAACAAGCTTCCTCCTCCGAGCAGGTACTCCCTGTTCAGCGCCTCGTCAATGCTGCGGGTTAGGTCAATAGGTGATGGGGGCCGCAGGTCGAACTCGTAAAGAGACAGTGTAGTGTCCCCCTCCAGATCCAGACTGCCGCTCACAGAGCGCTGAGGGGGCCGGCCCAGCGCCTGCAGTCTGAGCAGGGAACCTGTGGAGCCGTCAGAGAGGCCCCGCTCAGCAGAATGGCCCCGCTCCGCAGAGTGGCCCCTATGGTTGCGTCCCCTGTTGCTGTCTTTGACGCAGCGTGGCTGGGCCGTGGCCTGCTCGTGGTTCTGGTTCCTGATCAGACTCTTGCTGATGTCAGCTCCAGGACGCTCCTGACCAGCCCAGTTGTTAGGCACCTCCCCTGGTCCCCCTCCTCCTCCTCCACCTCCTCCACCTCCACTTCCTCCTCCTCCCACCCCATTACTGTCAGACTTTTTACAGGGCTTCCCCCTCAGGCTCTGGACTATCTTGGACCAGCAGGTGTGTCTTTGAGAGGAGCCTGTAGATTGGCCAGGGGATGGCAAGTCTCCTGCTGCTCTGCCATCCGGTCCCCCCTCCTCTCTTCCATGGCAACCTTGTGGCCTCCAGAACACCCAGGAGCCCAGGAGGAGGAGGGAGAATCCCCAGGCCAGCTCAAGGAGCCGGGCCCAGAAGTGCACCAGCCACCAACCCCAGTTGAAGCGCGTCCAGTCCCCTAGCAGTCCATAGAGCCATAAGGTGGCATGGACATGCAGCCCACAGCACAGGGCCCCCAGGACTGCACACACTGCCAGCACTCTCCCCAGGATCACCCCTGTCCTCCTGCTTCCTGTCCAAGCCTTCCTCCTGGCCTCTTCAGGAACTCCATGGTGGGGTATGGTAGGGCAGCGTACACGGGGAAACACATAGCATAGGAAGCCCAGACAGAGAGCCAGGCCCCAGCACAGGGCCAGGACCTGCAGGGTGACGGGCACCACAGGGGACAGGGCTGGGGACAGCAGATCAGCGGCCAGCAGCAGGGTGCACTGCAACACAGCCAGCACCGCCACCAGAGGGGGACGCTCCAAAGAGGAAGGTAACACGCTCACTCCTGCCACCCTCAAAGCCAGCAGTGCCAAGGCAGCCTGTGCCCACACCAGCAGGTGGAGAGGCAGGTTGTAGAGGGCAGTAACCGCGGGGCGCGGCAGGAACTTCCTGGTGCCATAGGGGTCCATCAGAAAGAGAGCCGCCCTGAGGCCTCCAGCGAGAAACAAAAGTGCATTGGCCAGTGCAAGAGCCCCCCGATGAGGACAGTTTGCGCCGGGGGACAGGGTGAGGCCGAGAGCCGCTCCAGCGAACAGGAGGAGGAAGAGGCTCACGGAGCCGTAGACATGCAGCTCCCAGGCGAATGCCAGCGTCCGGCTCAGATCACCCCAGTAGAGAAGTGTGCCGTTAGAGGAGGGGCTGTGGCTGGGGGACGGGGCTGGGTTAGAGGTAGTGTGTGGAGCTGGATGTCCAAGGAGAACGGAGCGGTTCCTCTTAACAATATCAGCCTGAAATGTGGGGCTTAGTCTTGTTCGCATGACACCAGTGGAGCTCCCTACAAAAAGAGAAAGAGAGATTGGATTTTCAAGAAAACCTTTTAAAATGCCATCTATCTGAAAAGCAGAGCAATAGTATAACAGTACATCAAATACTATTCAGAACCACTAGAGGGGTGTAGCTCACCATCACAAGTCATGTGCTAGGACCATCTTGCAGTTCTCAATGTAACTTAATGGGTTTGCACAGACACATTGTCCCAGATCTATTTATAAGTATGAAGACACAGTCTAATAAAATAAGATTTAAGAAATCTTTTAAAATTTAAATTTCTTCCTTTTCTTTTTGTTTTAGGTATCATATCTTTGTAAAGTTACTCATCAGCTGTATCATTGTATCCAAAAACATGGCTTTGAAATAGCAGAGCTAAACCAAAAACAGTGCCTCTTTGTGTGAGCAGAATTGATGGAGAATGATTAAATGATAGATAAATAAGTCACATAAAACTTCACAGGTAATAAAAACAATTAAGGACTAACATCAAATATTAGTAGCATGAAATATAAGAACAATGTTAACACATACAGTCTTATGTCATTTACATTAGGGTATTGAAAAAAATAAAATTAGGTGGGGAAGATCCTGTAGAAGCTGTCTTAAATCTCAGTATGATTTGTACACTATGCCACCACATTGAATTCATAATACATTATGTTGAGCTGAACTCCTCAGGATTACTGAAAAGTAATTGTGTGGTTAAATTGGATGAGATTATATAATTAACAGGCGGATCTACATTACGTAACAACAAAAGATACAACAGTGCCACAAAGCAGTCACGGAAACTCTCTCCTAAAAAAGTCTTACACAATGCATGACTACCTCAAGGAACAACACCTTGACAATTTGACGCCTGATTATGTCTTCATGTCTCTCTTTCATACTTCTGTTTGTTCAAGGCACTCCACCTAATCCTCCTGTAAAACTCTGGAAACACCCACATCATTATAATCATAGGGCCATTAATCACTGAGCCCTTTGTGAAATACTCATATGTAAAAACATATTGAGCGACACAAACTCATGTGGATAATAACAGTGCAATATTGTATACTGCAATACTTTTATTTATATTAATTTAACATATTTGTACTTTGTGCCTCCACTGTGACATGTTTCGTGCTTTTAATGTTTAAAAAGGTCTTTATTTTTCTCATACTGCCTGTGCTGCAGCACCTCTTTTCACCCTCTGTCTGAAACCAGAGCCCAGTCTGCTCTAATGGTTAGCTGGACGGCTCTGTTGTGATTGGTCAATGGCTTAGAGATGCCCCGCCCCTTTGCCTATCACATCCAATGTTTTTGGAGCACTATTTAATATAAGGGTGGTGTTACATTGTGATGTCACCATGTTATAGAAGTAAACAAAGGAGTCCAATGGATGTGTTTCAGGCAGGGAGTGTGTGGGAGAGAAACTCCCTCTGCAGGGAACTTTGGGATTGTAGCCTTTGCAGACCATTTACATGCACAAAAACCTATATAACAAACTCAATGGAAAGGGAAACCCACAGAAATTATAATAGGGCCCCTTTAAGTTCAAGGCAGACATCTCCCCGACCTTATTGGAAGCCAGATAAATGTTTTCCAACTGTCACTTCAGTATATAGACCACTAAATTAATATAATGGAAATAAAACAACTACTACATTACAGGAAGACAGCAAGGACATAAAAGATAATGACTATAACGTTAATGATGCAGACCTAAGAAACAGTCGTAGCTAAAGGGTATCTATCGGGAATTATGTCTAAAGTAACATTTAACCTTAAAACTTGATGGATGGTGGAACAGGATGATGAGTGGTAAAGCAGTCAGCCGCTTGGAGGACGTTAAGCACGTCCTCTCCGTGTAGAAGACACCCATAAAGCTGACACACTGACTAATGACTCACTCCAACATGTGTTTCACTTCCTGGCTCTCTCCCTAGCTCCATCCCTCCAATCACACACACACACACACACACACACACACACACACATTTCACATAGGCGAGCACTGCATACAGATCACAGACACACTTCTTTATTTATATAAAAGGTATGTTTTACTTCCTTCCCTCAAACCCCGTTTTGTTTTTCCTCTTACAGGAGCAAGATCCAGACACATTCCAGATGTGCTGATCACATTTCACAGCTGGATACACTTACTGCTACCCTTGAGTTTTTCTTTTCTTCAACACATTGCTTACACTGCTTTAAATGTCCACATGTTGAAATAAAAAAATATTATTCTCCATAGACACCCATATTATTCTCCATAGACACCCAGTTATATGTTTATGACCCTGATGTGGACAGATATGTGCATTCAATACAAACTGGTATTGCCATGGATGCAGGATATTCATCATTTAAATGATCTATGTGAAGACTTGTTTAAAAGTCATTATTACGCTGTTTTTATGGTATCTAAGAGACTGGCTTATGCCCTCCGTGTGTCATACTTTTTTTATTTTCCATCTCTGTTTTAAACCCCACTCACTTCATGCCTTTCTCTGTGCATCTGGTTTTCATTTCCATCCCCACTCCCTGAATTGCTATGCCTTTCTTCCATCACACTTTCACCCACCCCATCTACTTTCTCATCTGTATTCCCAACTGCCTCTTTCTCAGATCCTTACTTTCCCCCTGTCTATCTCTTTGCATGACTGCCCCCCTCCTCCACCCTCCCTCTCACCTCCTGCTCATACTTTCTTCCCTCGCTGTGTCTATCCCACACAACTACCACCCCACTTTCCATGGAAAAGTGCCTCTGAATGTTCCCTCCTTTGAAGCCTTTTCCAGGGTCTTCCAGTAAAAAGGTTCCAGCTGCATAAATAGTTCAATTTTAAATCATCAAGGATAAAGGAGGCAAGTATAGTTAGTAAAATATATAAATATCTTACCTGTACTTGAAGACTGTATAGTTGGGCTAGATGCATTTCTTCCCAGACGTTCCATTTTGTTGGGTTGAGGTGTTGTTTTGGTGAGTTTTCTCATCGCCTCCTGTGTTGTAGTAAGCACACTTTTTGTAGATGTGGTTGTTACTTGCTGTGTTGTGGTTTGTTGTTCTTCAGTCCGTGACTGTTTAGAGCCAGTGGTGGTAGTTGTGGGTTGTGGTAGTGTCACAGCAGCCTGCTTCGGAGTAGCTCTCACGGTGGAAGGAGTGTTCTCTGTCAGTTTACCTACAAAAGGGTGGATAAGACACAATTGTGGTAAGGTGTAAAAAATTGTAACTCAACAGCACTTAGAATCATCAAATATATATATTTGATATCTCACCTGTTAATACTACAGTTGCCTGGGTAACCACAGGGGAGGGGGTGGCTCTTGTCTCAGTCTGTGGCGTTGTAGAGATTTTACCGGCTGTTGTAAGCACAGGCAGGTAAGGGTTCATAGCCTGACTTCCCTCTGGTGGTGTTTCTACATCAAAAGCGTTTGCCGTCTGTGCCTGTGGCTGATACTGCGCCATTTCATCCTCAACCGTTGCCTGAGGAACAGATGATTCCTCCTTCACAGGCATTACCGTTGGAATATGACCTGATCCCAGCCCGTGTAAATCCTCATCCTCCGTCTCTTTGGGTGACCCCTCTTCTGAATTTCCTGCTGTCACTGGCTTATCACCTGCAGACTCAGTGAAAGCAGCAGAGGGGAGAGTTGGCAAAGGTGGAATTGAGCCTTTTGTAGTAGCATCTTCCTTTGCAAAAGCCCCGTTCAATGCTAAACCAGCTGTATCAGTTCTGGGCCTGGAGGCAGTGGGTTGAGTTAAAATTAGCCCACTGCTGAGGTTCTGCGTGGATAAAGCAGATACTAATGGAGGAGTGAACTGTGGGGTAGGACGGCTTGTTCGCCCCTGTTGCACTGCATTAGTATTTTTCTGTCTCTCCTGGACTGTAGCTCTGATAGGCACATCAGTGCGCCCTCTGGGAGGCAAAGAAGGCCAGAGTCCAGCAGTCTGCTTTGTAGGGTGAGGTGAGGAATTATTAGGCAGGTCCGGAGCAGAGAATGAAGAAGAGGAGCCAATGATGGTCTGGGCATCTGAAGGATGGAGGGAGGAGAGGAGGAAGCCCAGGAAAAGGAGACACTTGGGAGCCATGGTCTGCCTGTGAGTGGAGAGCGGTGACTGTTCCCTCTGTCTGTCTGAGTGTCACACCATCCTTACACTGGGATGCTGTAGACAGAGGAAACACATTCAATAAAACAAACTGCACAAACACACATTGTTGGTATCTTAACTTGTGTAATCTGAGGAGTGCTTGTTGTAAAGGGCAGGTCAGTAAAACTCCCACAAGGTTTTAGCTTCATGACGCCGGCGGACGTATAGTGCGTGGTAAGGTGTATGGTTTCATGGCCCAGATGCAGACGGTCACACACAAACACAGGCAAGAGTCACCTTGTAACTTATATAACACAGTGCACCATCAGAATGAACAAGCCAAGAAAAAGAAGAAACTAAAAGGAGTCACAGATGGTTTCGTTCAGGCGCAGATGGACACATTCACTTTTTTCCGCACTATCTCCGCCATGAAATGTTCTTTGGATGATTATCAGTTTCCTTCTCCTCCCAAGTCTTCAGTATTGGAGTTTTTTTTCAGTTCTGTTTGAGTCATAGATGCCAGGAGTTGACAGCTGTAGCAGCGACTGTGGTGAAGCTCCGAGGACCCAGTGACACGGAGAGACCCCAGAGGCCCTTGAGGATTACACAATCCAACGAGTCATCTAGATAAACAGCTGCCAGGCGCATACCCTCAACATGCACCTCTTATCAAAAAAACTCCCCTTTTCTTTTACTATTTGGGCCTCTGTCTTACATAACCCTCCCTTGTTCACACCAGTATCTGTCTATGACTCACATTGGGAGATTACCATGGAAGCAGTAAGGAAACTACTGAAACTCCATCTGAAACATTAGTAGGAAAGGTACAGAAGATAGAAATCAGTGCCTATGGAAGAATTTATTCTGCTGCTGCGTATGACTCACCTAGGGTCTATTCACAGCTGCAGTGTGTAGTGGGAAATGACTGCAGCTGCGCACACGGTGGGCATGTGCATTTCATACTCTTGTAAGATGTGAGTAATATGTGTGAGTGTATGGAAAAAAAACGTGTTTAAGTAGGTGTTTGTGTACCAAGCAGGAAGTCACAGAGCATATTGTAGGTATGTGAGA